AGTCCCTCTTTGTGAATGTAGAGTTTAGACAGACGCATATCATCTCACGCGCTGAGTTGACCTCAGAGAGATTATTACTCACAGTATCTTGAAAGGTAAATATCTTCTGATAGAGAACTGCTTGAGTGGCATCATCAAATATGTTTTCAATCGAACTGATATGCGTCAAGTGGCAGTAATAAAGTGGGTTACCGTATATTGAGTTGCCAGCAATCTTAGCACTATTGTTCAAGAATACCATGGAGATATTGAGATCTTGGAGCTGTCTATTTAGAATTTTAATCCTTTTCTCGGCTAAGAATTGAATGACACAGGTAGTAGTTGCAGAAGATCCTAAGGTGTTTATGTACAAAGCACCTCCCTCTCGAAATGCTGTGTTATTCACGAAAGTAATAGCCGAGTTATTGTGGATGAAGAGTGTGGAGCTGTCAATTAAGCAGAGGGCACCACCTCTGAAACCACTGTTGTTCTCAAAGGTAATCCGGCCATGAAGAACCACATGTGTGGCCAGTGCAGTGACAGCACTCACCCCATTGTTCTGAAACAGACAGCCCTTTCCCTCTGTCCCTATCAGTGTGACGTTGGATATGTAGCCAAAGAAGAATACCCCAGCATTCTCAGGAGAATTCTGTGAGATGTTAGCTCCGGGATAGGTATTGTCAGAAGCTACTACATCCTCGAGATACACATAGACCCTACTACTCTCGATGAGTGATTCAAAATGAAACATGGACAGAGCCGGCCCAATATAAGCAATGTTTTCTGTGAAAGTTGTGTCTCTTACTACTAGTCGAACATCAGATATATTCTGTGGATGCACAAAAAACACGATACTGCCTCCACTGTTTCCTGAATTGTGACTAAATTTTGAGCGGACTATCTCCACCAGGTCCAAGATACCTTCAAGAGATTGCATAAAGGTACCAAGAGAGTCCAAAAACATAGCCCCTACCACAACCAGCCCTGGACTAGTACCCCATATTCCTAATAACCTATTGTGACTTACTTCCACTCCCTCCAACTGTGTTGTTGTCATACCCAAAGTATTGAAGTGGTAAACCATCATATTGATTAAGTTTCCCCTGTTTGACATAACTATGGTGTCGGTGATTTTCACATCAACGTAGAAGTTTTTCTGCCCCATACCGACAGCTATGGAGAACCCACCAGTCAAGAGAATACGTTGTGTTGTAACTCCAACATGAACAATATTAACCTGCTCAAGTAGAAGATTAATGGGTATTAAGTTAGTATTGTTGAAGAAAGAGCAGCCAGTTAGAAGGAGGGATGCTGTGTAGTTGTAATTAGTTGTTACTAGGTCGTCTGTGATGTTGGTATCATTGAAGACAAACACAGCACCGCTACCTGCGCACAGCATGTCGCTTCTCTCCAAAGGTTGTTTACATTCACTGAGGCCCTGACTAGTGGTCCCTGTAATCGAGACCTCTTTAGTCACAGTTTTGCCAAGTGGGTTGATGAATAACATACCGAACCCAAAACATCTGTCAATAGTGACATTCACAACCATTGTGTTTGTCGAGTGAGTGATTATTATAACAGCCTTTTGCCGTGGGCCAAGGTAAGCAAAGGTGTCATTGATGTGACCGGGAAATCCATTAGGTACCTCCCTACCACAATTGATAATTTCAAGGTTGGAGAGGTGGAGGCTGGAGATATTGAAGAAGGCTAATCCTCGTCTCATTTCAGTCTCACTCTGACAGTGGATCACGGACCTTGGTGGGGTCTGCCGGCCCCACGATTCGAAAATTGTTGAGATTCTGAATGAGACAGAAGGGACCCTCCTCGAGGTAGTGGACACCACCTGAGAGCTGGAGTGTTGTGTTTGAGGCCAGTTGCCTGTTCCCCAGACCACACAGGTGGTACTGGAGACTGGTGTTAGTCTGATGTGAAGCAGCACTACCATTTATCATTAGTTGCACAGTAGCTGGCTGTTCAGTAACAGCCGTGGCAAGGAGCAGAAAAAACAGCAGAAGTGACACGGTGATGTATGGTTGATTTGTGAGCATAGTTACTTTGTATCTGGAATGCAGCATAGCTGAGTGGTAAAGTGATGACACTGATCCTAATGGAGCAGAAGAGTTCACGTATTAGCTATTGAATTGGAAGGATTTATCGGTATAGCTTTATTGATCTACACACTTTTATGTCCCTATAGCTATTTGTGGCTGATTCTTTGTGTTTTGTGTCACATTCACAATCTGCGGTGCAAGAGCTGGGAGTTTGTGTAAAAATCGGGGATGCAGTGCAGTTTTTAACATAAACTTGGAATGTGCAGTCAAACATCCTCACTAAGTAAGGGAAGAATGCTTGACCTTCAATAATCAGTTTTTGTCTTTGTAAACAAGGGGAACGTGTAATAAAGGTGCACATGTTCCAAGAGAGCCCCCTGCTACACACCACGCTACAAGCTGGGGGACATTCCACCCGGCAGAGTACTCACTAAAAAGCTAAGATTTTGAATGACTGTCCCGCACATGGGCTAGTAGTTCAGAACCTCATTCTATACCGCACATTGGCTAACGGTATATGAAAAAGAAGTGAACTAGGCTGGGATCATGGCATGGTGATACCAAGAACCTCCTTTTCCCTTCCCTATTCTATAATAGCTAATATGACGATGGGACTGAGTCTCCAGTTCTCCTATACTATAGTCCCAAATATTATGTATAACAAACTGGGGGATCGATAATACTGCCTATGTAAACTTCAATATTAATGTTATTGTTCTGTTATGTATATATCTTTTATGCTTTCTCAAACAAACAGTAGTAACTATAGCTTGGCTGGAGAGCTTTCATGCAAAATGGATTAATAATGGAATGCAGCTAAATGAAAAAGGAATTAGAAAATGGGTGATGGCAGAACAGGGCAACAAAGGCTGTAGGGAAAAGAAAAGGATATGCCCAGGAGACTTAGATTTAAAGAACAGGGAAGCTATGCAATTTTCGGCTTATGTGGTCCTAGTGCTCTGTTTACCTTTTATTAGGTTTTGTTTGCATGAATTGACATTGCCCAACATCAAGTTTCTCACTCAGACATTGTCTTTATGGGATTTAGCTACCTCCCTATGAAAAAAGTATTACGTAACCCCAACTCCTCTACTGTACACTGCTCTATTCATTTAGGCACCTTATTAGCATAATATTGAAGGGCCAAGAGGTTAACCAAAATCAACTTTAAACATTGCTGTCATCAAAATGATGTCAAAAGTGCATGTAGAGTACACTGAAAAAGTTAAGAAAAACTATCAAAATGTTCATCTTCGAAACAAGGGGGTGTAAATTAATGGGTAGTTTGTGGCCTAGGCCACTCTACCTCTCAACATTATTGTGTTCCTCGCTTTGATGCTGACATTCGCATGTGAGGGAGTGACGGCAATGCACAACTGAGGGATGCAAAGGCATAAGCGCTGGTACCGATAGTTTTGAGGGAGTTAGACACTTCAAACATGATTGATTCAAAGGCTATTGTAGGTAAATAAAGAGATTTCAGCGATGACAAAAGGTATATACTGAGAAATAATTAATTATGGTATTACCGTCTTTCCAGTAGATTTTGGCCACAGACTACACAAAACTGTAGATGGGTAAACAGGTGCGAACGTCAACACAATGAGTCTCACTTCTTTGAAACGGCACCAATCAGGATGATGTACAGTCCAAACCTTGATATCTGCAACAACTCGTATATAACAAAGCGACTAGCGCGCGGCAGGGTTATACGTACGTGTCGGACAGTCACTTCCCGCGTCAGGATGTATCGCACTGGGAGGGCGTGGATGCGGATGGACCACAGCGAAGGTGCACGCAAGGAGGCGCTTGATAAATGCAGAAATACTGTTTCCGCTGCGGTTTGCACAGTCGCGAGCTAAACTATAGTCTAGCGGAGATCCACAGAAATGCAACAGGCTTTATTGCAGCTCTGACCAGATTGCGGAATGGAGCGTTGCGCAAGTATTCCACGTTTGCGCGGAGTACGTTTGCGCAGGCTCTGCGGTCTGAGGCGGAGACCTAACGAAAGTGTCACCACGACGAGGTGGTCGACCGTATAGGCGGCAAAGGCCCCGAGCAGCAGAACTAGCTGCTTGTGGGTCACCTTGTACTGCAGAGCGAGGATAAAGTTATGGGTTTTGCGTCAAATCCCAATGAACTCTGTTCTACATAAATAATTCTCAAAGAAGTATAATAATAGTCCTCTATCTGCTGCGCATGCGTTTGGTTCCGCTTTGCCGGCGCGCGCGCAGCAGGGCCGGAAGGAGGAAGGCCTGCCCTCCTCCTAGATCCTGTGTGTGTGTGTGTGTGTACGTACGTACGTGTAAGTGTAGTGTGTGGGCTCCGGCCCCGCGCAAGTGGCGCGACAATCCCGCGCGCCGCTACTGGCGGATATATAGTCTCTGCGGACTGGGTGTCCTTAGAGAGGGGTTCCACTGTTATTTTCAGCTGACCCTTTTCTACCGTATAAAATACCAATAGACCCTGACCTCTCCTGTGTGTCAGTGTGCTGCACACACATAGGAGAGAGGGTCTACTCACTTATATATATAGCTAAACTTTACACCATCAGCCAGCGACCCTGTTTGCATCAACGTGTCCAATCCCACAACTCGTCTTCCTGCTTGCTATATTATAGCAAACATCGACGTCTCCAATCCCAATGCCACGTGTTCCTGCTGACACATTGATGTGCTGCCTAGTACAGACCCCCACCTCGCCTAGTACAGACCCCCACCTCGCCAAGCGTACTCTACTATATAGATCTGGGGCCTGGCAATTGTTGGGACATTTATCGCACCAATAGATCAGACCACACCACAAGACGTACGTATACTCATATACATGTTTGTAAATATGGTGGTGGTGGTTTTTATTTATTTCTATATCTATATACCTATGGCTGGTATGCTATAAACTATAATTTCATGTATACTTAGCGCGCCCACATCCTGGTATCGGCACATCAATAAAACAATGCGTGTCACCACTATGTTACCTCTCTCAGGCTCAAATGAAGTGCCTTAGCACGCCCACATCAAAACCGTGCCGTTCTGACCACTATGTTACCTCTCTCAGGCTCAAAGAAGTGCCTTAGCACGCCCCACATCAAAACGTGCCGTTCTGACCACTATGTTACCTCTCTCAGGCTCAAATGTATAACTGCAAGCAAGATAGGCTCTATATAATTATTATGGCTCCTGGTGTGGCAAAAGAAATTAGACCGATAAAAAACAATACTTGCGTCGAAGTACATCAATTTCAACAAACACGTTGGAGAAAAAATTCACACAAAGAGATGACATCCAATCAAAACTCAATAACAGAAAACATCAACAAACTTCTACTATGCATCGATCAACTTGTGCGTTTGGTCTTATACATAAAAGTATGCGTTGGTTGATCATAGTAAGAACTGTTGGGTAGCACCATTAGAGCCGAATCGTTTGTAGATGAAGGACACATATGTCATGACTGACATCCAGTCAGGAATTGGTAGGGCCACCATGTCCTCTATGTCCTGAAAACAACAGAATTTACAATGGCATCAGTTGTTTTTCCACTTTATCTGTATGCAGTAGTTAATAATAGTTGAAATCACAGTACTCACCAATAGTGATGGTATGTCTTCACTCTCTGCAGCCTCGAAAGCTATCTTGAAGTTGCGTGCCTGTATATTCAATAGTCATTTTTTTCCAGTTGCATCATGCACTTTTATAAGGCTACACATTTACATTACGAGTAAGTCTTAAATTTTTATCTGCCCACATGATCATGCAGGAAAATATGCACGGTAGCAACAGACCTTGTCAGTATCGTTGAGAGTGCTGTAGGGGATCTTGTGAGGAATGAAGTGGTGCAGTATGGCACAGAATGCAAGGCCGTTGGAGAAACTCTTGCCAAAGTCCCCAATGTATATGTTCTGATGGAAAAAGAAGATACATACATAGCAATCAATCAATACTCTCTGTTGTTACCAAAAACCATAGAGGTCTATCACATCCACGGTGATGGAAAAAAGACCAAGTGTGTGTGTGTGTGTGTGCGTGTTGAAGTTTAGATTCGTAAGAATTTGGGACTCACGTCATAGTCGTCAGTGACGAGCTGACACCATCGGAGAAGTCGTGATTTCTTGGACGACCTGTCCAGACCAAATCCAACTGTTGCTCTGCGTTCCATTTTGCGCTCGTGGGGTTTAGGCTTACGTGAAGAAGGAATGACGTCCGTCCTGAGAAAAACACAAGATGAATGCCATAGTCGTTAATGTAGCTGTAGGTAAATCTAAAACGAGCTGCATTTTTAGTGCAGGTCATTAACAAGTAAGGTGTTTCTCATATACATTGTACGTAATGTGTGGAAGGCAAGACCATTACCTTGAGGGAGTGATACTTCCATACATGGAGACAGGTCTGCCGGGTGAACTAAACCCAGGGGTCTTCTGGTTAGCAGCGGAGTTGCTGACTCCGTTTGACAGTGGTGGATCCTTCTCCTTCTCCTGCAGTTTGGAGATAAGGTTGACAAGATTGGTCGCGTCGGCACTTGAGAGAGACGTGGTCTTGGCCCGCTCAGAGCGAGGTCTGCGGGTGACATGGGATGAAGCAGAGGTGAATCGAGTCGCTGTCTGTGGTGAGGTGCCCTCTGCCATGGCGTGCTCCGGAATGTTCTGCAGAGACTGTGCTTTCTTCATGTCATCGGCAGGAACACCGAGTCGAGCCTGGGTGGGGCCAAACCTCATCTTGTTCACGGAGGACGACGGTGAATGAGGATTGGTGTTCATGGGAGACGGGGCACTCTGTTTGAGAATACTGGGTGGTCTACCAGCTGTGGACAGATTAGGAGAGAAAGAGACTGTTTTGGCTAGCCTTCTGTCTGTCTGCGGGGACTTGGGGCCAGTGGAGACTGTTGTCCTGTGCTGGGCACTGGGTGAGTTGGTGGGACTAGAGCTGCCATTACTGCTGCCCAGGGAGGTGAGGTCTGGAGTGCTGACAGTTAGGGAGGCAGGGGTGAGAGTGAGCGTTTGTGCTCTGCGCAGGGGAGGCGACGAACTGGTAGTGGTAACAGAGACTGTAGCTGTACGAGGTGCAACTGTTGTCACTGGGGGACTCGGCTTCGGGATACTGTTTCCTCTCAGAACTGCCACTTCCTTCATTTCCTTTCTCTGGGGGACTGGAGAGCTCTGGGGAGACTTGGAGGACTTGACGGAGATGGAGGAGATCTGAGGGCTGCGTGGGGTGGGGCTGGCCACCGGTGAACTTGGAGGGGGAGTGGACATTAGTGTACTGATGTCCATGCTCTTTGGTCGCTGGGCTGGGGAGTTGTTTCTACGTAGAACCACGGGAGGGCTGTTGCGGGGATTGGAGTTCTGCTCAAAAGCTGCTCTTCTCATGGCAATGCTACCAAAGGGACTCTGGTGCTGGTTCATTTTGCTGGGTAGGGGGTCTATGGCAGCTTGAGCTGCCTTCTCTGCATTTCTTTTCTCTTCTTCCAACCGTAGTTTCTTCTCAATTTCTTCTTCCCTCTGCTTTTTCAATGCAGCTTCTTCTGTTTGCTTTTGCTTTTGTTCCTCCTCTTTTCTCTGTTTTTTCAAGGCTGCTTCTTGTTCCTCTTTACGCTTTCTCTCCACCTCTATCTTCTGTCGCTCCTTCTCTTCCTCCTCCTCCTTCTTCCTCTGCTCAAGCTGCCGTTTCCTTTCCAGTTCTTCCCGTCTTTTCTTTTCCCTCTCCTCTTTTTCACGTCTAGTTTTTTCTTCCAATTCCCTTTTACGTTCTCTCTCCCTTTCTTCCCTCTCCCTCCTCACTCTCTCCCTCTCTTCTTCCTTCCGTTTTTTCTCAAGTTCTTCCTGTCGTTTCTTCTCTCTTTCCTCCCTTTCACGTCTGCTCTTTTCTTCTAATTCACTTTTGCGCTGCCTCTCTCTTTCTTCCTTCTCTCTTCTAATTCTCTCCTTTTCCCCTTTCTCTTTTCTCTGTCTTTCTTTCTCTTCAGCCTCGCGTCTCCTTTTTGCTTCCAACTCTCGCTTCCGCTTTTCTTCAGCCTCGAGCTCTTGTTTCCGTCTTTCCTGATCTCTCCTTGCCCTCTCTTCATCGAACTTCTTCTCTCCCTTTGCCTTATCCTTTGCCTCAGTTGCTTTTGGTGTTGCCGCTGGTGAGCCCAGTGTCCTGGTCATGACAGGTGAAGATGCTGTTCTACTGTGACATGGTGTCGAGGCTGGCTCGGGCGATTGCTCTTCAAACGACTTTCTCCTCTGTGCCACAGCCCAACTGCTTCTCTTTGCTCCAATACTCATCTTTGTGGGAGACTTTTGTCCAGTTTCATCCACCGAGCTCTGTCGTGAATGGTGACCAGAGGAAGACGAAGGAGGGATGGGGGGTTTCCCTACAATAATCACTGATTGGGGCCTGCTCTCTGTTGAGAGTTTCTTTGGAGAAGACGAACTTGGAGTTGGTGCAGGAGACGTTGAGGAACGCGCACTTCCTGGCGATGTGTCCGACTGTCTGCGCTCCTTCTTGGGTGAAGTGACTCCTTCCCCGCTCTGAAACTTTGCCAGAGCCGCAGTAAAGTTTTCTCTCGATTGCTGCTTTTTCAACACCCCTTTCCTCCCCCTGGCTGTCTCTTTCCTCTCCCCCACAGCTGGCTTGGCCGTGTCCGACTTTGTACTCTCAGAGCTCTTCTCTAACTCTGAACTGCTGGTGAGGGACCCACTGGAACTCGTTCTTCCCCTGGTCCTTGTCGGTGAGGTAGTCTCACTCTGTTGTTGACTGTGTAATTGTTGATTTCGTTCAATTTCGGGTGTGCCGGGGACTTCTGTGAGGGAGTGTTGGGTCTCGTGATCCTGCATTTGCACCCTCTGCTTTTCTTCATGTGCCTTCAGCAGTTGTCGTAGGAGTCTGTCCTTTTCCTGTCCCCATGATCTTTTTGCCTCTTCTAGCTCGGCTCTGACGTCGTCTAGTTCAGTCTGGAGACTCTTAGCCTGCTGTTCTGCAGCCTTTTTCTCTTCCAAGGCCAGCTGTAGGCATGAACGCAGGGTAGCGATATCATCTGAGGTCTGATTTTTGCGCTGTAGGCGTGGAGAATTTCTCGGAGAGGAGAAAGGTGATGTTGACTGTCTACTGCCACGTCTCAAATCAGAGTTCGTGCTACTCAGAGCATCTGTGCTAAAGAACGAAATCTCCGTAGAGCTGCTCTGAGCAAACTCTTCCTTTTGCTGGCCATCCACCATCTTCAGTAGCACATTCAGGTCACTTTCCAGGTTTACCACTCGCTCTCTTAGCTCAGAGTTCTCCTCCATGAGCTTCTGTCGCTCCTGGTCTTGTAGCGTATCTTGCTTCTCTGTGGTAGCTTCGTGCTCTATGCTTCCATTTCCAGCCAAAATCTCCAGCTGGCTGAGTCGCCCGCCAAGCCTCTTGCGAAACTTTTCCAACTTTTCGTCTCTGCTGCTCAGTTCGGCCTCCAGCTGCCTCACCCTCTCCTGCAGGACCTCCGTCCCTTCCCCCATGTTACTCCCCGCACCCGAGTGCTTGAGGCTCTTGGTCTTCAGGCGCTCCACCTCTGACTTGGCAGAACTGAGACTGCTCTGTGCCTTCTTCAGCTCTTTCTCCGTGGACTTCAGGTCACCTTTGAGCTTGGTCCTGTCAAAAGCTAGCGAGTCCTTCTCGTGCTTGAGAGTGTCTATCAGTTTCGTGAGTTGAGCGTTGGCCTTTGCTAGGTCCTTGTTCTGCTTGTAGAGCTTCTTTGGGTCTCCGAATTTCCCCTTGTCTCCTTCTCCTTCTTCTGCAGCTGCTGTTGGGTCTGGTGGCCTTAGTCCCAGTATGTCACTTCCACTGCTTACTCGACCAACACTCTGCAACAGAGTGAAGTAACTACTGCCTTGACTGTGTACAGTTAATGTATATATCACGTATACACAGGTAGGACTAACTGAACAAGACTAGTGGGAGAAGTGGCACAAATTGAGGAGGAAGTAGGGAGGACTGAGTATTGATTATCAGATCTATCTGTCAAAGCGATACTAATAATTGCTAACTAGGGCCGATACAACACTTCACTCCAATGCTTACTATAGTTCAAACTGGACTATCTATACGTAGCTACATAGCTATATACACAGCCAAACCACTATCTATCCTGAGGTGTATGTTTAACTCTGCAGATCTTTAGCTGTCTGTCAGTGCAACAACAATAGTGGAATGTATTGAGGAAGAAGGTGTTTAGACACTCTAGTTTTGTGCTACTCTTCAGCCGTACAATATCAATTGGATGGTGTGTACGCAGTATAAATTGAGGCTACACCAACATCTCCTGCTGACCATAGTTTGGCATTCAAAGAGCAGTAGTCACCACACTAAAAGTCTGGCAAAGTGATGTTATTCCTATTTGTAACCCAACCAGTGGACACAGTACATTCCACCAATTGATGAGGCAAAATGGTTGTGTACTCCACACACAAGACAAGCAAGGAGCAAAGGCATAGAGCTACACAATGTTAGACTTACTGGAGATTCGTTGCCTATCCCGTCGTGGCTCCCCTTCCTGGTCTTGCTCTTGCCAGACGATGGCCGCTCAGCTCTCTGAGACACTGCACACAATCAGTGATACACTATAATGTCTATAGTGAGTCAGGCGCTCCTTTTACCAAACACGTTGGTGCACTACAATACCTTTACTCACCCTATGGTATTTTATGCATATTAGATCATGAATACTAATTCATCTTCACATAGCATACACACCCACCATCTTGATCAGAGAGTGTTCTCTTGAACAGTGAGCCTTTCCCCCACCTCCAACTGCCCTTACCTGAGAACACAACGCAGCAACACATAATACAAAAATATAGCTAGCATATTATTCTGTAGTTAGCAACCAGGAGAAAAAATGGGAAAAGGAGGTACACTTGTGAAGTAGCTCAATCATGTCAATTGCTGGCTGTTAAAATGTAACTGACAAAGATTCTCAGTCGCGTCATACATGCAGTTGAAACAGTCGGGTGATTAGGTATTAAGTGTCTGCAAGTCTCATTGGTGTGGTTGGTGTGTGTGGGTCACCTGGGCTCTTGCTGCCAGTGTCGCCCTTCTTCCTGGCCGGCTGCCCACCACCACTGACGTCGTGTGGCTCGTCCAGTACCGTGGAGTGAGTGACAGTCACCAAAACTGTCTCTGCCATGTCTTATTATACAGAGTCTCCACACTCCGTGTCAGTTCACTATAGTTTCTCTGTGGAGGTAGGGGTACAGGACGATGAATGATTGGATTAGAGGCAGGTATAGAAAGTGAAATATGATAGCACACCAACTGACCTCTGTGTATTGTATGGTTGGAGCCACCACATACTAATGGAATTTTAGGAATTTTAATTGTGTGGGTAAGAATGCTAATAATCGCTGAAAACTGGACCAGACAGAATATTGACCTACATTTATGCAGAGATCCGCAACAAAAAGGCTGATTACAAGATAGATGGCGGATGAATTGGCAAAGCGGTTCTCTCACCTAAATTCAAAGGCTGAAGCATTCCTGGTTTGAACTATGTTATACATGCCCCTGTAGATGAACAACCCTCAGGGCCTGCCAATAGCATTATGTGGGCACACACTCTGTTGAGGCCATATATGCAGACCTTCATTCCAAAGATGCACAGACCATTGTACCAACCACTTATGACATTCTTTGTGAAAAACAAAGCACTTGCATTGAGCAAACACACTCTTTAACATGTAACAACTACACAACCTGGAAATGGCCAATTAGCTGAACTTAAAGCCATACAGCTGCAACTAACGTATGAGCAGAGGAGCCTGGGCTAACTCTTCTGACTATTATAGTTAGGGTGAGACCTAATAACCTGTGGTAGGGATACTAATACCCAGACTGGCCTCTGGCCAGATCCCACACTCCACACACACACCTGATACTCCACATAATGCTACGTAGGTGTGCCTACAATTCTGTGGAAGCTACGTACCTACCAGCCCTCATGTGTGTGTACCTTTCTGCTCAAACAGGTTAATGAACCTTAATGCTGCCAACCAACAACATTTTAACGATATGGTGGTCATTATTTTGACGACAGAGTTGGATTATTTACGTTTTTGTATGGCTTTGCCCATCCAATTGACTATGTAAATACCAGCCAATAACTCCACGTTTGAAGGTAAAATGTACTGAAAACCCAATGTACACATGAAAATATGTTATCTACATTGTGTATAATGTATAGCAAAATGAGCACTCTATGTCTTGCCCGCAAGCCTTGCTGTCAGAAACAGACCCTCTGTAGCAAAGTATGTACATCGTGAGGAGGAGGAGGAGGAGGAGGAGGAGGAGGAGTGTACAGGTAATGAGTTGGAGAGGGTTTGGTCGTATTGTGACTGGCTCTCGTGATGTGCCAACAAATTGCTCAATGGCATGACTTGTATGTATACACGGGAACATTAATAGGGCAGCGGGACTGTAGCCAATCTCGTTACGAGAGCGAAGTATGTGTATCTGCTGTGTCTTAGTGATGTACGGCAGGCTGCATGGACAATGATATAAGTGGACCTACACACTGTCCAACAAACACAAGTATGCGAACTCTACTCGTGCAATCTACAAGGCCCTATAGTCAGAGGCATCTGCTGCATGCTGTCTTCTACTCCAATATAGACACTTAGCTGACAGGGAAAGACAAGACAACTATCAAGAGTATACTCCTCCAGTTGATTTCCTCTTTAATCAGATTAGAGGGTGTGTTTTATGTGCACTGTAGTATGCAATGAGCCTATTTATAATCATTATGTGTATGGTAGTGTAACCTTGCTGCCTACTATTATTATGCATCATAATACCTACACTCTATTTCCCAGAAACAGGAAGAAACAGGAACTGCAGGAAGTGCCAAAGAAAATATCAAAGGTAGCTTGGCTGGTACCTCATACCACAGAATCCTGTAGTCAACCTTCCTAAGCCACTTGCCATCCTGACAATCTTACTCTCCCAACTCCTGGTATAATTCATTTACTGAAAAAAAATCCCACGTGGGAAGCAGCTAAAGCTTGAACCGCAATGAAATCTAGATGGCAAATACGTATGTATACTGATTCTGAGTTCTCTAGGTATCAGTGTGATCACGACTCAAATCTTCACCCGTCAGCCCACACTGACTATCAAAACCCCTATATACCTCCCAACAGAAGGCAGGTGTAATGGCCCGTGTGCTACAAGACATAGCTGTTGGTGGGTGGTGGGAACAAATACACTATACATACATACTTGTCTGATGTTCACACGTACACTATGCATACTTGTTCGATGTTCGATGTGCCGCCATGCGGGGGAAGTGTGTGTGTGTGTGTGTGTGTGTGTGTGTGGGTGGGTTCTGCAACGTGCATTCCACCTGCAGCACTCCTCTGCACAGTTGCCTGGCACACTGGCCCAGGTCACACCTAGTAACAGCCAGCTCCTCCAGACACCTAACCCTTCCGGCTGAAGACCAAACTAACCCACTATAAGGTCGACACACACCAACACATCACGTACCACCTTCACAGCAGTCTGTGACAGCTCATTTGAGACTTCTACCACATGCTTGTATTAGCAGGCTCATTCACAGTCTAGGGTAGTCCATTGTCAATGTATCAATCTCGTGTCCAGAATGGCAAGGAAAGAAGATCTGACATTTTCCTGCACCTTACCCTGTATGGTATTACAGGCAACATTTCACTGGGAGATAGGCATGACCCCACAGTCTGCGTCACTTAATACACACATACCAGGCATAGCTGGCATGCTCAGATCACAACTACCGGGGGTTGATTGACGGAGCGGGGTGTGTTCAGGGTGACAGGGTTACGGTGAAAATCTCGCTCCACGTCTGAGCATGCAATTACTGTCGACATTACTTGGGGCATTAGACTGAGACCATAATAACGGGGGAATGAGGGAGCAGAGGGGCGTACCTTTTACGTTCAGATTACAGTGAAAATGTGACTCTATGTCTGAGCATGCATGTCCATGTTCTCTCTAATGGTATCGTATTTCTTTTGCTCCTAGACCTTAGTCACAGTGTAAGCTCAAGTACATGCATGTACCTGTTTGCCCAACGGAGTAGAAAACAACATTTATACAACTACAAGCCCTGATGCAGACTTGGAGACCATCAGAATGCTACGTGCAATTAACACCTGTTAATATACTGGATGGAAGGTCATAATCAGTCTGAAGTTTATCCAGTTGTGTAAATTTGTATGGATAATAATCCACAGCTATGGTAGTCTTGAACATCCCACAGAGTGAGAGAGAGAGAGAGTTGGACAGCTATATAGGGAAGAGAGAGGAGGGACCCACTTGCCCAGACTCTCCCTTCTCCACACACAATAGCTTCATAGAACTTTGAACATCAAAAGTCACATATTATTATTGTCATGAAAGCTACTCAATTGCACTTTGAGGAAGGGATGAGGGTAGGGAGGGGTACATAGACTGTGAGTATAATATATCCCAGGGACCTTGCCCCAGTAGTAAGAATCCACACTGTGGCCTCAGTAGTGCATCCTTCTCTGCATTAGTGAGGGTTTGGTGCCATATCTTTCCTGTCACTTGTCTGCTTTGTGACCCCAGAAGTGTGTGTAGGGTTACAAAGCGGACAGGAAAGTGACAGGAAAGATATGGCACCAAACCCTCACTAATGCAGAGAAGGATGCACTACTGAGGCCATTTCCTGACGGCAGGGGCGGCAATAGATCTAGTATCAAGTATACACAGCATAACAAACTCCTAGGTGATTCAGTCAACAATTGAGGTCAAAGCATACCTCAGGATTAGAGTCATTGTGATTCAAATGTCATATAGGTAGTCATTTATTAACCCAGTCCCAGCAATGTGTGGGCTGCCTAGCTACGCAGTAATGCTCGCGCTCAGCAAACAATCTACACACTGAAACCACGTGTTGTGGCGAGATCCTTCATATGGAAGGAGCGTCAATTAGCTTTCCTTTGTAATAACTATTTGATCCAAACATCACATAATAGTCGAGTCACTCCCGTGCCAGTATAAAACACGTAAACACCTCTAATCGCATGAAATTGGCGGCAATTTTCCTGTCATCAGAACAATTTAGCATGTGACATTCACAAATCAACAACACATTAAACGCTTTTGCTTTTGCCTACGTATGTATTAGGAGTAGAGTAAAGCAGTCCCTCACAGTCCAGGTCACATAACAGGGCATAATCTAGCCGCCAAGAACAACGTGCCTCCATAATTGAGAATGTGGAGGAAAACGGAAACACACAGACACCAATACTTTCATCTTGTAGCAACTATTTGCACACAGAGGCACATGTAGAGACTCAGAAAATTCTTCTAGAGAACTCAAATGTGACCATATTAGCATAAAGCCGACGCAGTGGCCGACACAGGTGCATATTATACTCGAAACAAAGTACACAGAACCTCTCACAGTTACATGTAGATAGATGCAATAGAGACTTGAAGATTTATGATGCAACCCCACATTACTGCCAAGCATGAACTATGCCCGTGGCATGAAACGCACGAAAAGCTGCACCGTTCACACCGGCGGAGGAAAAAATTGTATGCATTTGTGGAGAGGTGGAATGATAAACAAGAGCCCTGCACTGTCCACAGGTGGTGGAGAGAAACGAGATTCATAAGACCGGTTGAATCAACAGACACACTCTCGGGCACTCAACCATTCATTCTACCCTCACTTGGCACAAATGGAGCACTTAGTGATGGCGTGTCTCCCCAACCCAGCCAGCTACAGCACACTGTTAACTACATATCCCATCCAGAACCACAACATAATGTATTGCTCACTTAGGCACACAAATACACAGTGTAGTTAAAGTGGAATGCTCAACACTGCACTTACTTTATGCACTCCACTAAAACATAGCTATTGTTACCTAATGCACAGAGACCTCGTAAAACTACATAGTTGTGTATATAGTAGCTATGGAACGGCATTCCTGGGCTGGCACTTTGCTTAATTCAGGCACCAGCAGGAAAAGCCGGAGGCTTCTATTGAAACATTTTAACCGTTAATTTCGTACTTAGCTCAGAGCTTTGTACAACGTCACTGTGGCCCAGGAATGAGCTGCAAAGAGTCAATGAATTCCAGTGCTATAGTCATATCCTGGAGCACTAGACAGGGCTGCAACCGTGACAAATGTGAACAACCGAAACATGCACTGGTGTTCACTGTTTAGCTAAACTTGCTCCAAACAGCACCGTGTTTCTGTGCTAACACTGCACACACACCACTGTGCATGACAATCCCACAATTAATCCCCTGCCTTTGTTAATTGCCAGTAAATTTCAGGTTCACCTCCTCCTATATATGTGCAGTAACACACACACATTATTATGCGACTGCAAACAAACAGGAGAGGAATGGGAGGTGACAGGTTGTTCTCAGAACACAGAGACCACAGGAGTGAGCTGCCCACATTCCAGTCTCCGAAATGACAGTCGGAATCACATTCCACTAGTGGGAGGAATTCGTTACTGTGGAGGCCAGAATGCTGGCAAGCACTCTGAGACACAGGAATGGTGAGACACTCACTTGCCTGCTCACAAATTGGCTACCAGCACAACTCAGCTAAACGCTGTAGTCTCAGTGGAACCAATAAGGCAGCAGCCAACACTAGAATATGAGAACTGCTAATGGACTTACCACACCAACAGTATACACTACTGTTGGTGTGTAAACATACAGATACCATTGCTGGAGCTGCACATGCCAGGGGACATGCTGCAGAGAGCCCTACCACAAACTGCTCCAGCATGCAGCACGGAGGCTGTGCTGGCAGAGACTGCGGTAGCTATACCGTTTGCAGGGGGAGTGCTGCTGCTTATCAAAATCTATAGCTAGTAAGCTAGCTATGCCAAATTAATATTTGCAAGGCCGTAGCTGAGCATTGGAACCGGAGGTTGATATAATAACTTGGTGCTCTGTTTTCCTTTCGGTTTAGCAAAACGCACACAATACAAACCCCGCATAGTGCGCAGTTTACACATTAGGAAAGACCCCCGGGTTGCAACTCACCGGCCTTCGGATAACGTCGATCCCAAAAGACAACACAGCGACGACCTGCACTCAGTCTGAGTCTGAGACGAGGGACTCTGTAAGTAGTTCGGGGAGACACCAGTAGCTAGATCGATCCGGAGCTACGGGACGTACTATCTCGAAACACTTGCAACTCTCGGGAGAGCGACAAGGTGTATAAGTATGTGTCCGAAGGAAAGGTGGGCGGCTGGAGCTCCAGCTCTGATCGTATTTGTATGGCTCGGCGCTTCCTGTCTGTCATCGGTGACTACTGCTGCACTTTTCGTGGGAGAGGGCACTAAATGGAAAAGCTGGTCGTCGAGTTCCGGTGTCTACCCCTCCAATACATGGGACAAAGTGACTGCTGTTCTAGAGGAAGCTAAGAAGAATGCAACTTTCCCGGGTATTGGCAAGGGTTTGGTTTGCTCACATGTGTAATACATGTCTAAACTACACAGCACACAAGTATAGTAAAGGGGCGGGGCTCGTTATTTTGTGGTTTGCAGTCAACAGAGGTCAACATCCTACTTCTGTTCTGTGTAGGTTGTGTGGCAGCAGTGGGCAATGAGAGTGGCCTGATATACACCCAGCCACTGGGCTCCTTTACCTATGGAGACCCCGACCCAGTCTCACACACCAACCCTCCCATGACTCCCGACGTGAGCGCGACGACATCATTCATACGTTTGCTTTCCCAAGCTCTACGCTAGTCATGACTCGTACCTCACCTTGTGCGGTTCCTGGTTCACACAATTAATACGAACACTACCAATAATCATACTGTCTTGCCACGTACAAACACAGCTGTTACTAGCGTTGGAGGATTTAGGTACCGGTATAGATGCAATTGCATCTACAATAAATGTATATCTATTGTCACTGATGGTCCACTAGACGATGTTTGATCTGGCCAGCCTGACAAAGGTCCTGGCTACTACCACTGCCTCAATGATCCTCTACCAGAGAGGCCACCTGGACCTTGGTGAGTGAGTCTGGAGCACGTGCACCATTAGTCTGTATAGTGGTGTACTCTAAGAGATGTTTCGTGTTGTTATTCATATCAAATGTCTGTTTGAACCTGATGCCATGACTGGCACATTGTTTCTTCATTCCTCTGCTACTGTGATTCAAGTAGAGTATATGCCCCTTGGGAATCCTCGTGCACAATCATCGAAAAAGTACCTATACAGTAGTACGCATCTACATACAATGTGTTGTACACCAGAAAGTGAACCTGAATGGCTTACGTTTCCAGCTTTCAAACTTTCTAGTATAATACCTACAGTATGTATGTATGTAGAAAATACCATGTGAGTACATGTGTAGATACTCGGTTGTGTATGGAAAGTGAAATGTGATGCTGCGCATGTGTCAACTATTGGGACAGAGTACTCTCTCTCTCTCTCTCTCTCTCTCTCTTTCTCATGTCCCCCTCTCTTCCCCACTCTCCCCCTTTGCTCTCTCACCTCCCTTCTCCCCTCCCCCCCCTCTCTCCTATGTACATGCCTCCCTCACCTCCTCCATATTATATGTTCCCTATGTCTCCGTCTCTCCCCTCCCCCTCTTCCCTCTCATCTCCTGTTCAGACATGAAGGTTAGTGACCCAGAGTTACTGGGACCTGACTTTGCCCGGAATGGCAAGGAGGCTATCACAGTCAGGAACCTACTGCTGCACAATGCTGGATTTCCTCCTGACCCAAAGCCTAACTATTGTATGTACAAGCTTTGGGTTGTTTTGCACAAACACACCCAGGGAGTGTATTGGTTGTTGATTATTGAGCGTACATTTTAGGACATGTGTACTCGGGGTGGCCAATAACCCACAAGAATGTTTTCCCGTCATGTTGAAGGCTGTGCTCTCCAAAAACCTGTCGTTACGAATGTTACATGTCCACAACAGTAGAGAAACTTTTTGTTTGTCTATTTCGACTGATATAAGCATGCCATATTCCTGCGTTAATGCTGTGAATAGTATAGTGCTTGCTGCATTCTTCAGGGGATGTAGCATTTGGTTGTCCACAGACGGCCCAATACTACCCAAAGGAAGACTTCAGCTGTCAGGCAATGATCTATGCTGCCCTACTCAACCAGGTGAATTACACCATAGGCTTGTACGTATAATGTTGCAGTGCCCAGACAGGACAGGATGAACCCTGTAAGGGTGAATGCTGTCCTGTCTGGGTGCTGCAACAGATTTGTTGGATATCCCTAGGCAAACGACATGTATGAACCCTTCTTGCACATGTAGGATTGTATAGGCTGATACAATCCCCCAGTACCTAGCTTTATACATGTCGGTTGCCTAGGGATATCCAACAAATATACATACATAGCACCAGGTGAAAGCATCCAGCATTATAATATATTATGAGACATTCTGAAAATTTAATGTATGGCTGGACCGGTGATTGTAAAATTTGCTGCAGAGTCTCCAGTATTCTCCTGGGACTAAGTATATCTACTCAGACCTGAGTATGATCACTATGATGCACGTCGTTGGAACACTGGCCAGGTAACCTGCTATACACCAGTAACCTTGCATGTTGCACATCTCTACAAGGCATGTGTGTGGATACTCTATGAGTGGACCGCCATCTACATACGTATTGACTCAGGGCACAAGTGATAATTATGTACAGTTTCATTAATTAAAGTCTCATTAACTGCATGTGTTTTTAAGCTAAAACTTTGTGGTACTCTGTGGCATCATGACAATAGCGTGTTCAATGGAAACATTAATTGCCTGTCACAGAGACCACGGCTATGTGGAGCCGTCAGACCTGAACGTGGAGTGTGTCCACCACCAGCCCAACTCCTCCCACTCCCTCCCCTACCTCACCCAGTGCTACTACGAGGCCTTTGTGAGGAGGCGCGTGGCAGAGTACCTGGGACTCCAGCAGCTCCTGTTCCTTCCTCCCAGGAGCCCCACGTGGGCCCTGACTGCCCCCACCTGGAATGACACCGTGTACCGCCATCAGGTCATGCAGGTATGTAGGCCCTACGCACATTTAATACTAGAACGAATGCAACACATGTACTTGTGAGTGAACTTAGTCCAAATTTCAGTGGTTGTACAGTAAACCTGTGAATAAGGGGCACCTTGGGGACATCCTTGATTTAGAGGAGTCCTTTATTCGGAGGTATATAGTATTATACGCACCAAGTGGAGAGGTGTCATTTATTCAGAGGGTCTTTTTTCGGAGGTATAGTACTATACTAATGTGTATTAGTATGAAGCAGCACAAAGTGGAGAGGTGTCCTTTATTCAGAGGTATAGTACTATACTAATGTGTATTAGTATGAAGCAGCACAAAGTGGAGAGGTGTCCTTTATTCAGAGGTATAGTACTATACTAATGTGTATTAGTATGAAGCAGCACAAAGTGGAGAGGTGTCCTTTATTCAAGAGGGTCCGTTTTCGGAGGTTTCAGTGAGATGTGGACAGCACTCTCTGCATAGTTATATACAGTGAGACTTGAGTAAAAATAGATGACTACAGGTGGGCTTGCTTAGTTCAGATAGTTGAGAGTGTGGTATACATTGTATATTAGTCTCATTAACCTCCAAAAGGAGGAAGCAGCCTAATAATTATGTGATTCCTAAGTTGTTGTTCCGAATACCCATTTCTGCAATCTTTAGTGCAGAACTAATGGGCCTGTATATACATGACCATGACCATGGCATGTAAAAGCTTTATCATTTTTATTGGTTCACAGAAATGTAAGGTTTGGTAATTTATTCCGGCAGGGTTTTGTGTCGGATGGCAACTCCTATGCTTTGGGTGGCATATCTGGACATGCAGGTTTGTAAAGTTAACATACACACTGTCCAGGCGTGTCAGTGTTTTGTTTCTGCCAGCAATACTACGTACGTATGTTGCCGCAAATGTGTACGAGTGACATGCACACCACTTGGAACACGAACCAGACGTGTTGTTTGGTGCGATGTCCAAAAGTGTTTCCCCCCACCCCCCCAGGGTTGTTCAGCCGAGCGAGCGACATCCACACTCTGTTACACCACCTCATGTTTGCCTCGTCCACCGACCTGTGGATAAACAGCACCACCGTCCACACATTCACCACAGTATGGCCATGCACGGTGCTCGTCACTAGTATTACTGTATGCATATCTTATATAGTGTGTCTGTGTTGCAGTATGGCTGTAAAGGATGCATCCCATGTAGTATAATATACACACTTAGGTGATGGAATTCTGCACTTCGGCTAATGATAATATTGCAAATGTGATTCGTGTGTTTTAAGGTTTGGCATCTGGGTCCATTGCTCGTGTACATGACATGATATGTGGGACTGGATCTGTTGGTAATCGCATCATGTCCTACAGGTGTACAATACGAGCCAATCAAGTAGGGCTCTTGGCTGGGACACTAACAACTATCATGTCAAGTCGACAGATGAGAGGTGTGTACACATACACCAGCTGTCCAGTTTTTGGTGCAACTTGACGACAAGTTGTGCCATGCTTTTGACAACTTTTTTAACACTATGTGGACATCATTTTTGACGGTGCACAGAAGTTAAAGTGCCTCTCTATGTCGTTCTAGGCTTTGTGGTGCACTGTCATCTGAAACGTTCACCCACACCGGGTAAGTCCATCCTCCCATTTATTGCACTGCGAACCTGCCCTCAGATTCAGTTGCCTCACTTGATGATTGAGTATATATGAAGCTGTGCTCTGCTACCTGTGTACAGTACAATACATGGCTGTCACACAGTGTGTTCTGGCTGTGAACCTTGTCTCAGTGTGTCTCTCTGTCCTCCTGTACATAGCTACACTGGGACCCAGGTGTGTTGCGATCCTGTCGGGAAAGTCATCACCATTCTGCTCACCAATCGCTGCTACAAGACAGACTCCATTCACACCAAAGAGCTCATTGCACTCACGAGGAGGCTATTCAACGACGCCGTGGTACAAGTGCTTCACTGACACATTCCACAGTGTCCAACACCATTATCTGTGATGTGGGCTTTTACACTGTAACTGTAGCTCTGAACATTTTACTACGTGTTTTTTTTCAATAGTTGCCGTAAATTTTTTATTGTCGTAATCACTACACAGTATTGTTATGTACATAATATGTATGTGCCTCCCTAAATATTTTTCTCATTACCCTACATACTGCATATTTGAAGAGTTGGGATGGTATTGTACCTCCTGGGAACGTGTCACTGTCTGCCTGTGATGATGTCCCACTCGCTAATCCCATAATACACACACACACACACTTGTGTAATACCAATTGAGATGCATCCCAATTCTCATCAGCTATTTCTTTGAAGTCCATACTTTCCCTAGACATTGACTGTGGCTTCACGGCTGTATATATCACTGACACTCTATACAGCAGTCCTACTATACTGTACTTTGCCGATGCTTTACTATTGTTACACTCATCTATGCTCTGTGTAGTGATTCTCCATGGGCCTCTGCTGTTGAAATCCTTGCCGAAAATTGAGCATCGACGTCTGCATACAAGTTGTAGGCTTACAGCTCTTTAAGCCTGTTGTGTCCTTCACTGTTTCAATAGTTGCCTGTATGTATGTATACATGCATTAATGTAAAACGACATTGTGTGTGTTTTTTATATTATAGAACTTTAATACAAGAAAGGAGTGTGTGGTTGCGTAATAATTGTGGGGGAGGGGTTCATTATCAGTCAGGAGTGTTGTATAGTTGTGATAGCTGGGAGGAGGGAGGAGTCTGTTGGTCGAGGACTGGGGAGACCGTCACTGATGATACTGCTGCCTGAGCTGGCCGTGCGGGAGTGGGTCTTGAGGTGGGCGTTGTCCAGGAGACCATTGGAGAGGTGGAGGGCGGAGGAGGAGAGAGGTTTCCAGGGCTCCACCGGCGAGCACGCCATCATACTGTGGGTGGACCTCACTAGCGGACTCTGACCTCCCACCAGGCCCTCCGACCTGCACAGAGTCACATGCAAACAGTTTTGAGTATTCACATACATATATAGCAGATTCGGGTATTCTTCTTGTGTTACTTTCCCCAGTTTTCTAAACATGTTCATGGGAGTCAAGGTTAGGTCATAGTGGCACTTTCCACCCACAACAAATGACTTGATCCAAATGTTATGCCTGTAAATATTTGTATGTTTGGAGCCTGTAAATTTTTTCATGTACCAGTCAATTTATACCCACGCAGTATATATTATTGGAAATGAAAGTTGGTGATATTTTAAATAAAACATACTTTCTCCTGACGGGGCTTCCAAGTGGAAGTTCCAGACTCCGCCCACTAATTATCCCACTGTCCATACTGGCAGTCTCAGAACTGGTGTATTCGGTGAAGTCCAAGAAACTAAATCTGCCGACATAAGATGGAAATAAAGGTCTGTTCAGAGTAATACGACGGCTCTCACCTCTCATCCATGAGTTGGTCCATGTTATCATATGCCGGGTTCTCCCAGGCTCCTTCCTTCAGTTCATGAAGCTCCTCTCCCGAGAACTGAGCAATGCATGGCATGTAGTGTGTGTGTGGGTATTGGTAGATATTCATAAGTGGAGGAAAGTGGTTGTAATAGGGGTCGACCATGCATGTTCACGATAATTGGCAAGGCTGAGAATGAGTTCTGTACGTAAGGCATAATATTATGCGAAGCAACTTCTTTTTTATTCCCACCTTTAGCCACCTTAACTGCACATGAAGCGTGACTACAGTTTGCTTCATTTCATCTGTTACTCTCAAATCTCCACGTGTAAAAATTATCGTAACTATAGATCAAGTAAAGTAATGAGTTAGTTTAGAGTTTACGTCATTGAGCAAAGACATTATGTATGGTAGTGGAGGTGTTATGAATGGTGTGTCATGTGGAGAGGTGTCTCACGAGAGGATTGGCAATCTTGCTGGCCCAGTAGACGTCCTCATAGGTGAGGTTGGTGAAGGCCTTGTCCTTGGGGTCCTTCCTCCCCTCATCTGTGAACCCACTGATGGCTGTCTCCAGCTCCTGTGTGCCAACACCACAGCAGGTTACACTAGTCTTATACCATTACACACGCAGAATTTGGCCAATTTCCCCCGAGAGACAGAGCTCTACGTACACCTTTAGTTGATAGTAAGGATGATTGAAATGTTATTCATGGGTGTCTGAACATTTGGTCCATGCAGGCAGCAAAGAATAGGCCACAACTACAAAACGCACAAATTGCTAGGTGTCAAACTGACAAATTTTCTGTACAGCAGTATGAAGTATTACCTCATCAAACTGGAACTCATGGAAGCCACTGGACATGTCAACTACTGTGTCACTCAACTCCCTGTGACCTGCAACCAGATTAGAGAAATGGGGGTGGGGTTTTGGAGATAAATAGAGTTAGAAACTGGTTGAGAGTAGAGAGATACACACGACTAGCTAGAGATTGTAGATGGAGAGAGAGGAAATTGAGTGATAAGGATAATTAGTGGGAAATTAATCAAGCACTTTCTCTAATAGTCCCGTACTCTAAGAAGTCGGGATGATAGCTGGAGGGCAGGTCTAACCTTGGAGGCAGTCGGCCAGTACTCCAGAGTACTCTGGTAGGTGGAGGGAGAGAGTGAGAGTGTGGGTGGAGCTCTCCATGTTGAATGACAGAGTCACCACGTCCTTGCTGCCGTCCTGAACATTGTGGTGTGTGTGTGTGTGTGTGTGTGTGTGTGTGTGCAGAGGAAAGGGACGGTCATAGGCTGTCATACACACCACCCACCATTACATAATGTACTTTAGGCTTAGCAGGTATATACGTACAAGCAGTGACTGCCAAAATAACCATTAGACAAAATGCAGTAAAGCCACTAAAGTGCAAACCCTTTGGCTCTAGAATTGTCGAACCTATATACACATGCACGGTACCGCTAAATGATAGGCTGGACTGTGTGTTGTCAACTTACTCTCTTCTAGTGCTTTAACCCTTTGGATGCCATGGGTATCTTCTTAAATAAGCATTAGTGCCTAGTATTATAACCCCCATATAAATTCTTATGGACTTATGGAGGCTCTGGACATATAATGTGTCCGCGGCTGGTTAAGTGTTAACCTTTGCTGCATATGTGCGCCGAGAGTTAATGAAAGTTGATAATTTTCATCACTATAGTCAACATTATATACATACAAACTCAACATGAAGAGTGGTATATAGTAGTTTTGTGGCGCATTATACAAAAACAATACTGGCCATGCATTAAACTGCCAAACTATATGCTGCCCTTTGAGAAACATGGATGGGTCAATGGTAGATTAGTGGGTAAGGGGAGGAACCAGAGCTGTTCCCAGCCAATGCTCTGGACCACCTGTCAGTTTCAGTGCGGGTCCAGGATTCGAACCGGGCACCTTATGTGACAGTCTCCAAGTCTCTAACCACTTAGCCACTTGGGCTGGCCACGAGAGCTGATGAAAAAACGTTCCAACACTCCTATTAAAAACACCCATGACCCAGGATCGAACCGTCGACCTCACGATCTACAGTGTGAATTTTTTATACTTGAGGGGGGAAGGGTATCTTATTTTTAACGACCCTTCAAATTTCCATAGTTGTACGGTTACAGAGCTGTATTATTATTGACCTGCTTCCAGTCAACGAGAGTGGCCATGTCCCAACAGAAGTTTTTCTTTTTCTTGTGTGGCAGGAACACAACCTGTGGTATCAGGATATACAGCTGTAGGTACACATCCCCTCATAAAACTGCTCCCAAAAGTAAAGACATCCTGTAGATGCCGCTATATAGCCTTACAGTCTTTTTGTAGTCAGTACAATACCCGAAGGGACAGAGGTTATTAGGGGACTGACCCTGTCTTTAGAGACACCGATGAGTCCGTTTTCCTTGGTTTCAATGTTGGTACATGAGAGAAACTCCATTCCAAACAGCTGTAGACTTGACCATAGCTTCACAAACCAGCACATGGCGTCCCGCACTGCATACGTAGGGACACACACAATATATTACACCAGGTCACAGGAGTGTAGAGATGATTTCACCTGTTAGCCCTTTTAGTGCAGCATGTTCTGCTAGTATCTGCTTAGAGAGGTGCTGCAAAGTTTAAAAGAGCAATAAGCAATCTCCAACAGATTCGAACAACATATGTGTCGCCCCATACACCCGCTACTGACACAGTGCACATTGTATGTTCCAAACTCCAGTACAATGTTATAATATACCTTCACTTTGCATTTTGGAGGTGCAATCTGCCCTTTTATCTGCAGCAAAACTTCTGAATTGTGCCTGGGAAGAACACAATTTCATGGTTACGACTCTTGCAAAGAGGCAGAGTAGTAAGGGGTTCTTACTTCTCGGATACGTAGTCTCCCTTGTTGATCTGTGTGAGGATGGCAGAGAGTCTCACCATGTCACCCACAGAGCAGAGCATCTCTCCTGCCAGGTACGTCGCTCTGTGGGCAAAAATGATTGCAAAGGATAATTAAAGAGTTGTATGTGCCCTTTGAAAAATAAACAAGCTTGTTCAAGCTGGTCTAATGTATGGTCCAAGTTTAAAACAGGCATGGACAAGCCTGATCAAGCGTAGGTCAAGCATGTTACAAGCTTGCCCAACTTACAAGACTTAAACAAGCTTGTTATACAGTACAATATGAAGCCTGTAACAAGCTTGTGTGTGATTTGTGGTAGAGTGCAAGCTTGATACAAGCAAAATCCGCAAAATACAAGCTTGCCTGACAAGCTTGCTTCAAGCTTGCCTGACAAGCTTGTGTATAGCTTGGCTCAAGCTTGATAATTGAATAGATATAACCAAGCCTGAACAAGCTTGGTTATTTTTCAAAGGGTGGTGGCTCACCTAGCTTGTTTGTAGAGCAGCTCCAGATTGGGAGAGTGTCTGGATAAAAGCAAAGGGACACGCCCGTAAACTTAAAGAGCGCTGAGAAGATGAGATATGTACATACCTGTCAAGACTCATGTGGTAGTAATATCTGTACATTAGAATCAGCTCATCACTATCCGTCACTTCCTGTAAGTTTGTGCGTGTAAAATAACCATGCGCAGTGAAGAATATGCTCCAGTCAGTGCTGCCCATAGTATGTACATAGGTACTGTGTATGGTGTGTGACATTACCTGCTCGGCAAGAGTTTTGTTTGGATCAAGCCATGGAGTGTCGAGTCTGATTTGATGCTTTTTTGATATCTGCCTGCAAACATAAACACCACAGAATGATTATGTCATCACTAGAGTGGGATTATTGCTTACTTTCTAACTCGGCTATTGGTCCACCTCTTTGATGCGTTAGAAAATGTCCCACTCATTGGTCTCTGCATAGAGGATTTAGAGTATGTGTTGACTCATAATGGACTCATACATTCACATTAAATACATGTATGTGTACACCTTGTCATGTGCATGTCATGTGACTAGGTGTATGTGTGCACCTTGTCATGTGCATGTCATGTGACTAGGTGTATGTGTGCACCTTGTCATGTGCACACATACACACCTAGTCTTGTTTGTCAGGCTGTACGTACCGTTAAAGAATTGTGATGCTCGGTAGATATGAGTGCATTACATGTATTCAAAAGAACGTGTAAACACGCATAATGTAATTAATTGAGCTCCAAGGGCAAGAATGTACGTGTACTATTCATCTAGTGCCCGTTATAATTACACTGATCTCTGTTGTTATTGCATGAAATACGGGCTCCCATTCCAGAGTGTATAGTCTTCTCTCATAATGGAGGCCATGACCAATGCAATGTGCTGCCGGTGGAAAGACCAACCGACCTTTCTCCTGACGCCTGGTGAGATGGGAGGAGAGGAGTCTGGGTCCTTTGACATGGAGCTCCTTGTCCTCCCTAGAGCCTTTCTAGTCAGGCCAGGAGCTGCACAGAACCAGAGAGAGAAGGGTACAGGAATGTGACTTGTCTCACAGTTGTAAACCATTATTGCGGAATATTATACCAGAACAATAAAACTGATCAATGTTGTAAGAAACCTTAGAGAATGTATACACTACTAGCCCAGAAACCACTATGACAGCAGGTAACAGACTTGCTGCTCACCACATTACTATATACCAATTATTATGTGTGTGTGGGTAGTTTGTTACGTACATGCTGACTCCACTCTCTTTGCAGTTGCCTTAGCATTATGACTGGAGAGGAGATGAAGAAACGATAAGTAGCTGTGAATGTATGCTTGCCAAGACTCACTGTTTAGTGACTGCATAGTCTCCAGCCACTACCAGAGACATTTCCTCCTGTGGAGAAGAACAAAGTGGCTAGCTAGCTCATGTCCTGCGGATGCTAACAGTGTCAGATCACTTACTGGATACTGGAGTTTCAGCTGGGAACACACATCGCTCAGCACCTCTTTCACCTGTGTGTGTATTAGGTTGGATATCCCAGGTTACCGACATGTATGAAGCTAAGTACTGGGGATTTTATCAGCCTATTATTACGATTTACACACACGTGCAGACTTCATACATACATATCGTTGGCTAACAAATTAATCTGTTGCAGTATCCAGGCCTGCCCTCTCTGGGCACTTTAACTCTATGCTAATGGATGCAGTCTTCCTTAGCATGTGTACTAATTGCACCTGTTCACTGAACGTAACATGAACACTCGGTGAAGAGTAGAACACCCTTTCATAAGTGTTCAGAAAGAAGCACCCCATCTCCTTGTGTAACAGTATCAACTTACCAGTTGAGAACCGTCCACAACAAGTATCTTGCAGGAAGCATCGAGAAATCTACCAAAACAGAAAACAACAAAATACCAATGAGGTAAGTCATGTGCATTTCATTAACAACTGCTCTGCAGCACCAGTCTGATATAAATTGTTGACAGAGTTCACAGTCCCTCAAGTAGTGCAAATTACTCAACAAATACCGCTATTATTATTCACGTGCATGAGTGCTGAGAAATAAACTGGACATGAATAAATGTGGACTTCGCTATACATAGCATGTGCTAAGGTGAAGAACCAATACACCACCCCAAAGCTCACGCACTTGTGAACACACACTAGAGTATGCTATTCTGTTGCTCGATTCTTCATTTTCAATGTGGTATACTGGAAAGATATCTTGGATATGTAACTGTACATACCTGACGTAGATACAGTACGTGGAAAAAGGCTTAAAGACTTGCATCAATCAATACTGCCCTTTGTGTGTTTTCTTTACTTGGTTTTGGCACAGCCTGTGCTAGTGCAATGATGTAGCTTCCCAAAGGTGTCTATAATTCCCGGCTGTGTCTTGAAATGTACCTAATCCGAAGAGGTCTTCTCCTAATCTTGAACTGTAGTTTGGCTCCACTCTCAAGGTGGAAGTGGCCAATCTGCTTCTCGGGCAGCAGCCACACCTAAAAACATTCGCAAGTAGTATATCAATGTTCACAAGCAGTAAACTATAACGAAACAATTGTGTCAATGACATAACTACACTCTGGCCAACAGATGCAGACATGGTGCACGCATGCACACTTCGATCTGTTACCAGTAGAGAGTAATGAAGACGACAAGTAAACCAGAGTTTAGTGCAGCTGTTAGTGGTGTGTTTGTAACCTGGGCATGGGTGTGCAGATCGCATGTTTACTTGTCAAAAAGTTCTGCTGATCTGAGCTAGGTGTGCACAGGCACATGCAGCTTGGAATGCACAGGATCAGCATAGACTCTGCTGTTCCACGCATGCAGCACAACACCAACCTTCTGCCGTGGCCAGTAAAGAATGTAGTCCTCGAATGGTTTCTGAAGCTCTCCCTTCACCTTCTCGTACACATCTCTGGCTATGTCCAGTGATGTCTGTAGTCGCGACACCTACACCAAAATTGGTGGGATAGAACAAGATTTTGTACGTATATATACCACACACTGAGTTGTGCAGTAACCCAGAAGCAACCATGCACATTTTAGTGAGGTTTTAAGGGAAAAAGAGACGAGTCCTTATCCTCCTCAAAGTGTAAGTCAGTCTTCCAAAATAACATTTTAAGGATGGTTTAGGAACACACCACGTGTGCAGGTGTGCTATCATTAATATCCTTTTCCTACTTGGTCTATAGAGACACGAAAGTGTACACTCTGCTGTAATCTGCAGTCAGGAAGTTCTCTCTAAGTCCACTACGCCAATGGCAATATCAACAGGCCTTGGTAAATACCTCTTTACAAAGAAAGGCATTTTGTGGCTAGTACTGAGCTCACCACCACAAATGATAGGGGCCCACAAACTACACTCCACACTGGCTTTGACTTTTATCAACAACAACGTTGGAATCTTCAGGGCTACCGTTGATGGGTCATCCTGTATGCTCAGCTACCCAGGCTGAGCTATATACTTGAAATATCAATAAGGGACATCGATCCTTGGAGACACTGACCGCAAGGTAGGACTCGACTCACAGGTCAATATTTTCAATGGTGCAGATCATGAATGTAGCTGGTGGGTAACATGAGATACTTGTTATGCTCCCATTTATCTCCAGGCACCTGATCATGCAATCATAATCACAAGCTGTCTGCGTAACAGCAAATATTATGAATGTTAAATTAAACTGCACACAAATCACACGTCAGCAAGATAGGAGGAAGAGATGGCCACACATAACTCGACAACATAAACAGCCGACCTTGTGATTATATGGACACATTGAAAAGCAAAAGCTGCGGTAAACTGTAGCCGTAATGCTGAATTTATGATCCTCTAATGCTTTAAGCAATGTGAGAGGAAACTGGAAATAAAGTTCACAGAGCAAAAGTTAAAGAGGTACAGCGCTGACATATAACCTCAGGATTGCAAAGTTTGGAAGCTCCTGATCGTTCCCACTACACCCCATATGCACATTATGCCAGATTCAAGCAGCCAGATACCCACAGGAGGCACTGGCCACATAATGGTGACCACAACTCCTGCACCCACACAAAATCCAAAGAGGAACTTCACACACATCCTGCCAGCTTTACTCTCCTTGCTGCCAGATACACAGGTCAAGCCCTGAACACGCAGGGAACCACGTAACGTCTGTAGTATATACTACTATGAGGGTATGCCCTGAAAGTGCAATCCCATTGCAAGCATATGCCATTGGGATCATACTATAGTTACTTTTACTACGATCTGTTTAGTGGAGACCAATGCCGAAAAGAGCAACACTCTATGATGGTCCCCAGTCGTACAACTAGCCAGCAAAAAGAGCAGCTGTTCTAGCTAGCTATGGTCAAGCTGTATAATTGTGTACCTTCATCTCTAATCTCCTGTCTCTTAGCGATGGACTACCATCTGGCTCATACGCTACCGTCACCACCAAGCTCATGGCTCTCCTTGCTTGCAGCAGGCGATCACTTTGGTCTCCTCTCGTGTGTAGTGTGTAGAGCGAGCGGGCGGCTGCGCTGCTGCACAGATTTGGGGCGGATCTGTTCGGAGTGACGTCAAAACCGGACAAGGACTACGGAATACGGGCTCGCGGAAATAATTAGTATCCGGAGCTACCCGGAAACTCAAACCCCTTTGGTGGGAAACTCCTGGGAAAGTGCCATCTTGTGGGCCAGCCAGGGCATCCTGTGTGATGGACGGACTTTCTCTACAGGACTATGGATATCCAAGAGCTGGGAGGCCCAAAACTGGAGTGATAACAGAAGGTATGGCAGGTACTAGACACCTTGCATGAACCCCAGCAGCCACGGAGACCTGTAGCATCGCTATTGTAGCTCTAGTCACATGGTCGAATTATGTTTGTAATTGCATCTGTGTCGGCATCGTGTGTTGCTACTACTGTCAATTGCTCGGAAGCGACACGGGCGTGCCTGAGTCTCGTGTGTAGCTATACGCGTCGTTTCTCTTTCCGTGCAGTGAAGCGATGTCTGCTATTCTCAACAAGATGAGCGAGTTCTTCTGCCCTCCAGACCGGGAGCTGGCCCTGAGAGGACAGTAAGTGCCCGTAGCTCTGTCGCTAGGCACACTAGCAAAGCTAACCAGTGTGTACTTGTGGCCTACAAGGAGTGAAAGTTATCCAGTAGTACCATATGATCAGGGTGCAGGCTCATTTGGGTGGCTGCCTCGAGAATCTCAAACTGAGAAATGACACAATTCCTACCTAATGACCTTGGGTGTCATATTGTTTTCCTGGAAGGGAGTGACCTGATTTACCTGGCTGCTACTGAAAAACGCATGTCTGGTAGACTTCTCAAAGCCTGGGATGGTGTGTTGTATTGGCACAGTATGAGTGAGTGGCTATTGTCCATGTATGACTGGCCATTGATGCTAGTGTGTGGGCACTTGGACACACGTCTTATGGGTTCCCAAGTCTTCCTGTAGTCCAATAAAGTACGATCTGTACATCGTTATGCAGAACAAAACGTGGCCTTTGTTGAATGCATTGCACAGGAACTGATTGATGTTTGATGTGATGGTCCTGCATACAGGTGGCATAGTGAAGTGAAAGTAATGATGCTACTTTCAACTGACAAACTATAGTTATGTGCCATATGTTACTATATTATACTCTCACGAAGGGAACATGGCCTATATAAGGCACACTGGGTTGTGAACGAAGCTACAGCCTCAGGCTCTCTCTAACATTGTAGGAATGAAGTACTGTGTTTGTGCATCTTTGGTACATGCTGCAGGGTACATACAGTACTGTGGTTGTTATTGCACATGTGTACACGTGATACTATTAGTGTAGCATGTATTCTCAGCTGAATAGCGTGGTAGATGTGCATGTATTCTCAATTGGGTCAGACTATTATACTTACGTAGTTCTCCTTGTATTCAGTACACAGTCGGAAGGAAATCTTTAGCACACACAGTAGTAGGAAAGCCTCCTCCCCCCAGTCAGTCCATTACCCCTTGTGCATGACTTCCTTTTTTGCATGGAGACTACACTTCCTACTTATTAAATCATTAACTACACCATTTTTTGATCTCCCCACTCGTTTTCACTCTCCCCCATCTTGAGCACTGTAGCACAAGTGGCATTAGCTCGCTCGCTCTGGTAGGTAGCTCTACCAACTGAAGCCTTATCACAAGTTGCTCTTTGATGCACACATATTACTTTGTACATAATGTACACATGATTTTTGAAAAGAATTCCCCCAGATGCACATATTTTGGCAGCACTTGTGCCAGACTAATAATAGGTCGTTATTGATGATGTTCTGTGCAGCACCGTAGCCTCATAGGTCAACCAGTCGCTATGTCCAGGAAATATGCAGTGTTTCTAGGGGTGTGGATAAAGATACACGCACCACGGGGCCATGTCAACACTGGGTGTACATGTTGTTCTGTGTTAATGTTGCCTGTTTGCTACAAAGGTGTTGGAGACCATGACACATGACAGAAACGGTAGTTGGAATCTGGCGCTGTGATGCTAAAATAGTGCCATGTTAATCCAAGGCCAGACAGACTTTGTGCCACCACATTTGATTATACGTGAAGGGATATCGCCTTGGCTGGTTAGTGGCAGAGTGACTTCTCTGTGTCTTAGTGTAGGTTACCTCACAGTAGAGAGGTCATTGTGGCAAACTTCCCGATATAAGGATTTCCAGGAAAGAGAGCTACGTGTAAGAGAGGGGACTAGTAGTGTAAAGAGTTTGGGGAGCAGTTTGGAGAGCAGCCAATGCTTCTAAATCCTTCCGGCATTTTTGGGATTTTTGCTGTGACAGCCTACACCAAGTGATAGTCCTATATAGTAATGTGTGGGCCAATATTTCACCTGTTGATGGATGTGGTTGGATGTGCAAGGGGGTTGAGGTAAGTTGTCACCTGACACATAAAAGGTTTTTGTGGATGAGTACATAACTTGGCAATTGGTGATTAGCACCATTCTGGTCTCTCACATACTCCCTCCCTCCCTCCCTCCCTCCCTCTCCTGCCAGAATAAAGACGGGATGGTCGACGGTGGCAGCCCGCAAGAAGTCTCGACCGAGTCAGATGAGGCTGCCTCCTCAGGAGATACAGCACATCCAGGCAGTGGTGGCCCAGGCTGAGGCCCTCCAGATGGCCGAGGAAATACGTATTGGGTGAGTCCCTACCCTCCCTCCTCTCTCATACATTCCAAATAACCACTCACGTTTTACTTACGTAAGATAAGCAAGAAAAAAGAGTGGGAACTGTTTATTCAAGAGCTATCTAAGGCAAACCCGTAATCCACACATATGGTTAGCTAGTGGCTTACTATGATGTGCATAAGTGTGAGCTCTCACACAGCAGTAGTATCAGTGAGGCACTTAGGACATAGTCTATTTTAAATACTGAGGCTCAGTATGTTAGGAAACGATACGGTTACAGTGCCAAGTATTTTAGCTAGTCACTGGATTAAGGCACTTTGAGGAGGAAGGTTGATGCCAGGGACGCTAATTAGCCCGAGGAATTTTCAGTATGTTTATGTGTACACGTCCCTGATGGGTCGTAAGTAAGAAAAGCTTTCCAATGTGGAGGAGGTATACCTATTGCTACATGTTTATGAAGTCACATGATGTAGTGGGGGAGGTTAACTTGTATACCCAGTGCCGTGTGAGCCTTGAAGCTGTGTGGATGCATGTAATGCACACACACAGGGACCTAAATAGGAGGTGTGGGGCTATTGGTGCTGAGTGGTGTATGCCAGACATGGTCTGATCCGTGAAATGGCAGGCCGCTCTTGTCTGGTATCTGTGGCTTTGTCTCTAGACGCAACAGTAGACTTGAGCCTTCATCCTCTCAATCCTCCCACGCTCTCTCTCTCTCTCCTTTCTCTCTTTCTCTCCCTCCTGTTCTCTTGCTACACATGTCATGGGTTGTAATAGGGAGGTATATACACTGTGTTCATCCACACTTGTTGAGACTTAGAACGCAAGTCTTCTCTCTGTACTACCATGGTAAACACGTGCATAAAATGAGTAAGGTCAATAAAGGTTGCCGGGCCTCTCTACTCATGTACTGCCAATGAATGGTTTGATGCTAGTCTCCAACACACACTCTGTTGTACTCTATCATCCCCCCTCTGGTACTGGTTGCTCCCTCTCTTCACCCCCTCCCCCCTCCCCTGTCTCCCTCTCTGTCTCTGCCCACAGTGTCCAGATGTTGAAACTGCAGCGACTGCGGAAGAGTTGTCGTGGGAACGGCACGTCCACCTGTATCCTGTGTGGCTATGACCTGGTCCACCACAGGAGCCGCAGTATTAGCTCCATACACGTCTGTTTCGAGTGTGCCCAGGTATATATACCAGGGCAGCATACTCTGTTGTTAATAGAGCATGTTGTTTGTTGTAGTTCAGTTTCGCTATGTTGTAATCTAGTTACAATTAGTCACCTGTACATGTTAGTATTGTCTGTGGTGTAGGGTATATATACAGGCATGGCTTGCATGTAAGGTTTGACTCCAGGTGACTCTCTGTGTGCACACAAACAAGATTGGTAGACATGGCTGGGACTAATTATGGTCTGGTAGCATCAGGTAGCCTGCCGTGCCGTTGTTTGACTAATACGTACGTATGTATCCTTGTTGGCCGTTTGTTGTAAGAATACAAGCATTGTATGTGCCGGACGTTACATGCTCGTAGCGACCTTTTGTGGTGTGTGACCTCTTTTGTTTTCAAGGCCATTGTATGTATGTGAATACCCATCTCACGATAGTCAATGGTTACAATGTGTGTTACATGTGTAGTGCGTCGGGCTAGCGATCGTAGATCCCGTAAGGTAAATAGTCATACGATTATGATCCCGAAATCGAGACTGACTAAATAATGACACACGCACAATTATATAGACCGCTGTTCCAGTTAACGCACACCAGCGTAATGACGTGTCACATATCACACATGTATCTGTACTGCAGGCCGTGTGCTCTCGATGTAAGGCAGAGTACAAGTGTCACACAGGGGAGACTGTGGTGCTGTGCCGGCTGTGCAGCGACGAGAGAGATGTGAGTTTCCCGAGTTATAATTGCCAACGAACACACTCCATACTTTGTGTATCGTGTGCTGTCTGTCTGTCTGTCTCGTGCAGCTGTGGAAGAAGAGTGGTGCGTGGCTGAACAACAAGCTCCCAGTCATTCACGTCTCAGAGGAGGAGCTGGAGAAAGCTCAGCAGCAGAGACAGATGGTAGGGGGCATAACCTGACTGTGCCTGGTTCCCTGGCCCAATCCCTCTCTCCCACTGTCTCAATGTGTGGCCTTGTTCCCTACCCCAAACTTTATACCTCTTCCTTTAAACTTCTCTCATATACCTTCTCCCCTCTCCCACCATTGTTTTCATTCCCTCATCTCGCAAGTTTGCCCTTCCTTTAACCTTCCTCATAACCAGGAAACAATGTGTTCCTATGAGAGATTGGGGTTTCAGCAATATGGTGGCTCATGCCACTGTGTGCCAGCCAGCTAGGTAGCGAAATGGGAGACATTGTATTTCTGTTTACAGAAGGGGAATGGTTGGGGAAACACTAGGAATTTCCCCCTATTGCACAATGCTGTGTATTGTATAGATTCACTTACCATGACTGTCTTCTTTCCTCCATGCAGACAATGAAAGTTATGCCACTGAGAAGTAAGCCCTTACATTTTTCTTCTTGTACAAGTGCAGAATGCCACACATCAATGTCACACACCTTTAAGTAGTCTGGTTGATTCTGTGATGTGAATTGTACAATTCTCTCTCCCTCCTCCCCAGCTGACCTCATAGTTCCAGCCAGTCATCTGGACGAAGACGACGACGAACTCGAAGACGATCTCTCCACCGTCAGCGGATCGACCGCTAACTACGGGGGCTTCTCCTCGTTTTTCGCCAATAGTGCCCCCTCCTCCCGTTCTCCCAGCCCGCCGGACATGTCGTTCATGGCAACGGAGCCCAACGCAGCCGCTGCGGCGTGGAAGGGCGACCGTCAGGGCTCGGCCGAGCTTCACCCTCAGTCCCACATGACCCTTCCCTACGCCAAGAAGCCCCACGGGCATGAGGAAATCTGGTTCTTACGACCTGGTCGCCATCCGCAATCGACAGCGCTCCTCCACCATGCCGTCCAAGGAACGTAGTGCCTCCATCACCCGCAAGCCGGCCATGGGTGGGGAGAGGAAGGAGAGGATGGAGGAGCTGCGAAGGAGAGTCATTGAGAAGAAGAGGGCCGCAGACCTCCAGAAATCAGGGGGCGCCATTCAGCGCACCCCCTCCCCGACTCTGGGTCTGGACCCCATCAGAATGACGAGGTCTCACTCCAATGATTTCCCAGTAGCCAGCCCGCGGTTCTCCCCAGTGCCAGGCTCCACGTCATCCCACCCCCACATCAAGGTGGTCGTGTCCACTCCCCCTACGTCGCCAGACATGCATCGCGGAGGCGAGCAGCCGCGCTCAGGGTCTCCTCTCACTGGCTCTACCGTCGCCGCTCGAGGCTCCACCCCCAAGTCACATGATTCGGACTTTACACGTGCCTCTGCTACATCTCCCTCACCTCATACTGAGGTATTCTCCTCAGTGGGTGGGAAGAAACAAAAGCCAGTTCCCGTCTCCCCGCAAGAAACAGGGTACTATGGAGCCCGAAACCCCTCATTCTGGGCAGCAGTATCATCAGGGAAGGTCCCAGGATGGTGGGGAGATCAGCCTCGTCGCAGAGGGCCGGAGGTCTGCCACGATTGAGAGGGAGAAACCCTCGGCTGCTCCACGCAAAAGAGCCGGGTCTGTGGACAGGGACAAAGGTCGCGAGGTCAGATCTGAGACCCTAGACAGGAAACGGAGGACGCCAGATCCTCAGCCGTCTTCCGAGTTTAAGACTGTGAACCTGTCGTCCAAGAGGACTCCTCCAGTGACGGTTGCTGGTGAGTCGAAGTCAAGTTACTCTCCTGTGTTTCCAGCCGAGGTGAGCAGTGAGCTGAAGAGTTCCGTGGGAGCCAGGGGCAAGAAGGGTTCCAGAGAAGAGATGACATTCACGCATCACCAGGAGGAGCATTCGAACCCTTCGCTGAAGGACATTGGGAAGAGAGTCAGCATCACTTCGGAGGGGAGCGTGGACAGTCAGCAGGGAGGGGAGGGGGTGTCGAGAGCAGACAGTGGGAGCTCCGGGGACCACGCCTGGAAGAGACAGGGGGCCAGGAGGACGGCACGCAGCAAACACACCACCAGACCTAATGCGGAGGTAGAGGAGGAAGACCAGGGTCCACGTGGACGATTACGCTCGGGAGCTCTGTCGGGAGGGGGGCGGGCAGCTCGGAAGACGCACTCTGGGGAGGACGGGGAAGGCTCTCGCTCCCGGACCCGCTCGGGAGCACTGTCAGGGAGTGACGCCCAGCCCTTCCGCCGGGGTCGTAGTCCCAGGGGCTCCCCACGACCCAGAGGTGGTGTGGGGGTGGAGACAGACGGCAGATTCCCAGAACCTCTCGAACAGTTTGGGGTCGAGGAGGCGGAGTCGATTCGCCGTGCGAGGGCGGGAGATCGTAGGGCGGGCCGCACCGGTGGCGACCTCCTGGTTGCCACTGACGGTGAGCAGCAGGACTGAGGGGCAGTGGTGATCCTGCCTCCTCTGCTCTGTGTGTCTCCCACACGCCGTATACATAACACAATCAGTGATTCAAGCAACAATGTTACTGCATGCCTGGTGGCTGACCTCAGCGGTTGGCACACATGAATGATTTTATTGTCCTGTGTATACAACATACCTACAATAATTTTTGCTGAATGATTTAGCATTGGTACAGCTAGCTCGCTACGGAGAGAGAGGAGTGTGTGTGTGTGTGTGTGTGCCCTGTGAATGTAGAGGGATATGGCCAATCATTATGGCCAGTGGGGCATTGACCTCGTGAACACCTGCGCTAGGCCGGGTCAGCAGAGTTCAGGGCGGCGCGCGACGCGCGTCAGTAGGCTCTCACATTTCAAGTTGCCTGCCTGGTTTCGAGGCTAAGGCATTACCACGTAGGATCTTATAGTTCTGATGTGTGCGCAGTGCACAACACGATAAAATTGGGTCGCAGCAAACGCATCATGAGCCATTTCTCTATGCACCTCTTTCCTCCCTGCTTCGGCCTGCCACGCCCTCTTTCCTCGCAGGTCAGTACGGATCCATAGAGCTGTCTCTGGAGTACGTGGCTGTTGACCAGATCCTCTCGGTCACCATCCACAGATGCAGAGTAAGAGGCATGCATAGCTAGAGGGTGCCTGCACAAACGTTTAGCGTCCTGCCAACACGATACAAGCAGCTAACAACGTTTGTTCGTTTACGCACCTATTTTGGTAGCAGTGATTCCCTGGAGGTGAGTAGTGTTGTTCGTTTACCCAATTACCTGCATATTATACGTACCTTACAGCAGTGCCAGCATTTAGGTATAGCTATCTGATTATAATTATACACGTGTGTTGTTGTAGGGCCTGCCTGGGGTTGACAGGAACGGCCTGTCGGATCCATACGTGAAGCTGTTCATTTCACCTCATGCCCCCAAGAAGGTGACTATAATATACAGCAATAGCTAATACTATAGCTAATACTATACTAGATATTCGCTTTCCTCATGATACATCATACTAGAATGCTTTCTCTCATTTTCAGCATGTGGTGTTCAAGACGGTGATCCATCGTCACACGGTGAACCCACAGTTTGATCAGAACTTTGTGTTCCAAAACTTGACTCCCGATTGCTTGGAGAAGAAATCTATTGTGTATGTCGCTCTGTTTGTGTGTGTGTGTGTGTGTATGTGTGTGCGTGGTGTTCGTATCTCAGTGCAGATTTGTGTCTGCGTGGGTGATAGAATGCATAATGTTATATCCCTTATTTAGCCTTAGACAAAACTTTTCTGCTGGCTATAATTATACAGCAAGAATGAAAATGGTTCTGCCACCCGCACCTAACAACAGGGTTATGTAAAGTGTGCGTAAGCAATGATATGAAACATGAGAAAGTCTGTAGAATTCCAATGCAACACTGAAAGTCTGCAATTAAACATTATTACTCACTTTGCCTGTGTTACATGCTCCATGGTTTTTGGAATGATATCAGGTCATGGTCCATTCCGGACTGTAATTTCCACACATCAGTCAGTACTGGGGATGATTCCTTTTAGCTTTACATTGCAGGCATATATAGCTCCTCCCTATATTATAGATTGGTGGTGCTGGATCGCCATGATGCCTCCAAAAACCACCCCATTGGAGGAATCAGTGTCCCACTCTACGAGGTAACCCCTGGCCAAAAGACCAATATCAGGAAATTGCTGGGGGATCCAGAAAAGGTAATGGAATTATTTGGGGATACTGCCAAATCTCGGATTGAGGTGATGTGGATTACTAATCGTTACACCTCAGGCAGTGAAAGAAGTTATGGAGAAGACAGAGGTTGGAAAGGTAGAGCTGAACTTCAAGTACGATGTAACGGCGGGCTTCCTATTGGTGGGGATCAACCAGGCTGTTATTCTCACTTCTCGCAGCAGCAAGAACTACCCAAACTCCTACGTCACATGGTGAGTCGTGTGTCAGCTGGTGTGGCTCCTCAGTTACACGGTCCAATTACTTTCATATGGATCAAGTTTTCATGGCATAATGTGCATGTAGTATTTGTTTAGTGAAAAGTCTGGTGCAATGAATTTGTGTCGACACTTTATTATTTCGCAGTCACCTGATGACACAAGCAATGTCAGTTAATGTCAAACGAAAGACAAAGACTGTCAATCGTGCAGCAATGCCCATTTTTGACCAGGTATGTCTAATCTTTTTTCAAACCTGAATGTCTGTTTGTGTCTATAGCTATTCATGCAACAGTTTGACATGTACACAGGTGTTGGAGATCTCGGTGGCATATGCTCAGTTGAGTTCTGCAGTTCTCGTTGTCTCCATGTGGGACCACAAGAAGGTGGCCAAAGATGTCTTTCTAGGTGAGATCCAGACACAGCAGAAAATAATCCTAAAGTGATGCATTGTGACTAAAAAACTATGTCTATGACAGCTGTCATAAACATGAATTTGTGATAGCGTAACTTTTTTTTATAACAGAACCCTCAGTACTACATAGTTATAGCACCGTTGTGGTGGCATAATTATGAACTCGGATGTGGTCTCAAAGCCTGATAATGCACAAAGCGTTAAGTTCCTTTTGTAGGTAGTTATAGTCCAGTGAGCTAATCCTGCTGCTCTTCATGAACTCTGACATGAAAACATGGCTCTACACGTTTTCCAACTGCAGGAAATACTGTATATATAGCACAGTCATATGGACTCCACCTTTTGAGGCTAAAAATGATACCAATAAAGCCTGCACTCGCAATACATAGCCACCCTGGTATATAGTCACAACGACAATAGTAAACTGGTGGTTATATATTATATTGGCACAGGTGAGGTGGTGCTGAAGGGCAGAAAGTTTTGGGAGAAGGTGAAGAGCTGTGATCTGCTGAACCACGAGTGGTTCCATCTCCAGGAACAGCAGGACTCATTCCGTGAATCTTCACCTGTTTTTTAACTCTGTAACTGCTTGCATTGCAGTAATGAAACAGAACAAAGACTTGGGCGTGCATGACCATCATGAAGTAACTAGCTACAGGGTGTGCGAACAGGCAGTATGTGTTGCTAAGACTCTATATACAAGCCATTTCTGTGCGGACACTAGTAGTGCCAGAAGCCTCACCCACTGACTTTTAGTCTGGGATTGAGTTGACCGCAGGACTGTTGTGGAGCGAGGCAAGAGGACACTCAAGTTTACACTTGTATGGAAAAAACAAGTGTACTGTGCATGTTAGGTTGCGGTGAAGTAGATAGACTGCAGTGTGTGTATATATGCTTGGTAGGATTGCGCGGATCATCGCAATGGAGTATGCTCATGCGTATGGAACGCCAAACAACGTTTTCACTATTATTTTTTTGCCGTTCCATACATGCGCATGCGCATAGCTGAGGTCGACCGCGTTTTAAAATTGAACGTGACGTCACACCCGGAGTCCCCTCCGTACTTACTTAGCGCGTATATAGCTCTTACGGTATGCTCTATTTATAAGCTACTTTTGCGATATTACAGTAACTGTAGTATAGTATGCGTGAGAAAAAGAACGGACGCTCTAGCTTGTTCCTGCGCGGAGATCTGGGCTGAGAAAGGATAGTAGTTAGCATCATGACTGGAAATCGATGTGTTCTGCACGTGCAACAGACCCTGGAGCCTCTTTTCCCAGGTTAAGCTGAGGCTCCTTGCTCGGGTCTCCACCAGGAAAGCGTCGGCTATACAGCCGAGAATATGGCGTCAGTAGATTTGCAATCCACCTCGCTTTCGCCGTTTTTAGCCGGGGAACGGTGAAAAGAGGCTCCAGGGTCTGTTGCACGTGTAGAGCCACACAGAACACATCGATTTCCAGTCATGATGCTAACAACTATCCTTTTCTCAGCCCAGATCTCCGCGCTAGAGCGTCCGTTCTTTTTCTCACGCATACTGGATCGATCGAGAGTAGGCCTGAGACTATTATTCCCACAATTTGTCCGGATATTCTATTCTGAATTTCCTATTCCATATGCCTATTATTCTTTAAAGTTTACCCATTATTCACAGGTGGGAAGTCGACGCCATTTTATCCACGTGGTATTTATCCATGATTCCCTGTCCGAGTCGGAGTCCGTTCCGTTTTGACCCACTCGTGCGCGTGACGCGCGTCCACTCGCACTTCGCCCTTCCGCGAATTGCCGCCGTTGCCGGCTCGTCGCTCGCTTGGAAACTTTCAACCTATTATTCTTGGAATTATTCTTATTCCCAGAGGGACCTATTATTCCCGAAATTTATTCTGGAATAATCGACGCAGGACTAATCGAGAGCCAAACGGGACTCCGGATGTGACGTCACGTTCAATTATCTCCCCCACTTTACGTGCCATGCATACTTTTGCATTCATGTGGTCGACACCTAAGCGCGATGTTTGCCGTCCGCGCGCGGAGCCGGATCGGTATCCATGCACTCTATGGAGAGAAGAGATAGATTTCTGTTGCCTCGCCTGTCCTCCGAGCGTTGGCAGGAGCTCCAAAGCTTTCATTTGAAGGATGGCGACGTGTTCATTGCGGGGTTCCCAAAGTCTGGCACTACATGGATGCAGCAGATTGTCAAACTACTTCGCAGTGGCGGCGACGTAAGGCTAGACAGAGCCATCCCGTGGTTGGAGGTGCTGGACTCCGACTTTGGCAAGAGACTCGGCTTCACACCTGACATGGCCACATCGAGCGACATCATCTCCCCTCGAGCGTTCAAGACCCACTTCCCATATGAGCTAGTTCCTGGTGGTCTTCCTCACACCACTCCTGCCAAATACATCTATGTGATGAGGAACCCCAAGGATGTGTGCGTCTCATATTGGCACCATAGAAATTTCATAGGAACGTACGCTTGGGATGAACACTTTTCTGAGTTTGTATCCATCGGAGCCAAATGGGGTGGCTGGTTTTACCACATTTTAGGGTGGTGGAAACACAGGGATTCGCCAAACATCCTCTACATCAAGTACAAGGACCTGAAGACTGACCCACTCACTGCCATCAGCACTATCGCTCAGTTTATTGGGATTCAGAACATGACCGATGAACTTCTTCAAAACACCCTGCAAAAATCTTCTTTCTCAAGCATGAAGGCAGACCTATCTTGTAACAACAGCTGGCTATTTCGTTCAGGTCTGTTGTTTGAAAAAGCAGGCAGTGGAGAGTTCATACGCAATGGAGAGGTTGGGAGCTGGCGTGATCAGTTTTCTGAGGAACAGAGCAAAGTGTTTGATGACCTTTTTGCCAATAAGATGTCTGGAAGTGGAGTAATGCTTTAAAATTTGTGACTGTATCATCATGCTGCATACACATTACTCCTTTAAAAGTACTAAAGTGCAAATTGCGGAAACTCTAAATTTACTGCAGTTGACAGATTTCAAGTGGGTGTGTACTTGGCAAATATGGGGCATCGTTAATTTTAGTGTGCTGAGACTGCTATTGTTAGCTACCGAAATGTAATTTCTCTGAGATGAAGGGGGGTGTGAGGATGTCACGTCATGAAAAGCAAGGAAGATGCCTACCCCAAGCCACCTCATCCTTATAATATAAACAAGGGAAACGTGCCAACCCCAAGACAGAAGGTCATTCATAAACCATCCCTACATCTTTGTTTCTTGCAAGAAAGCTACAGTATCTGCAGGTACATAGATGTATTTTGACTTTCAGCACACCACAAAGAATCAACATCCCTACACCCCTTCATTTTATACTTGTTAGGCCACCAAGTGTAAATGCTGCTTTATTTGCTAGTGTGTGATGAAGCCAGCCACTGCCGCGCGGGAAAAAATTAACTAGAGGCAGTGGTGTAACTTTCGACTTTTAACGAAAAATCGCCAACAAGAGCGCAGCGACATCGGTCACTGCACTACTCGCGCTAGGCCCTCGCTGCGCATGCGCGGCGAGTGTCGCGACAGGCCACCGTCGCGTCAGATATTGAAGCGAGGATTGAAGAATGGGTGCCAAACTTTGCGTTGAGAATAAGACAAATATTTCAGTTGCCGTGCTTCTTGAACAGATTTCTGTTCGCTACTGGGCACGTGTCCCCCCGCATAGCATGGTATTATGGCATCCCGACAAATTTCACGTCGACCAAGGGATTTACACGATCCGGGCCGTCGATGCAAGCTCCCAGACGTTCGAATCTCCTGACATGAGAAGGGAAGCGGCCAAAGCTGTCGGAGGGGGTGTTCTGATGGGTGTTGGAGGGGCTGTGTTTTTAACGGGATTGGCACTGATTGTGGTTCCCGGACTTGGCGTCGTATTGACCGGGATCGGCGGTGCTATGGCCTTTGTTGGGGGTGCTGGAGCGACTGGTGCAGGTGTGGCTAGTGCAATTAGCGCTAATGCAGCTGTAAAACGAGGAGTAGGTATTAGACGATGCAAGATTGTAGTCAATAGTGAGTTTGACGAAGGAGTGATGAAATTGAATCTTGAAAAGGTATAGGACTATATTATTTATATGTCCCATTTCATTGCACAAGGTGACCAAGAATACCTTAGCTCCCTCTACCGCATATATGCAGGTAGTCTCACCAGTTATTCATGTTGAGCAAGAGCCGGGGTGGCGTGAATTATGCAAACTTTTCCCCTGCCCACATTGTCGTATAATAGATAGTAGTTTCTGCCCAAACCCGTACACATCAAAATGGTAGTATTGAGGAGCACGCCAACTCTGTGGGATGCATTACCCAGAGCATGCCGTTTATTTTGCGGTGTCTATGTAACGTCGGCCTCATAAATTGTCCTTTCAGAGGGTAGCTATAGCTAGGGCAGAGCAGAGCTGGTCACTCCTGCCACAGTGTCACTGGAGATGATAACTGAAAAGCAGGACAAGCTCAACTGCCAACTAAGAGCACAAGGACTGTATTCCTTGGCACATGCTTTTCTTTGGCCTCCCAGTGCTGTTGGTTGGTTGTCCAAATCGTAAGGCACATAATTATGCTGCCTCGCCAATTATTTGGTGTCCCTGCATCTATTTAGTCTAGTAACTACAAGATTAAAAACCTACTGCTAGTCTAGACCATGACTTATGCTCCTTGAAAGGCTTACGACTGTTATCTAGTTCTGGGCATAAGCAGAGTTCCACGTAACAAACATGTTTTTCAGTAGGCTAGGGAACAGACATCTGGTAGCTAGCAAGAGGTTCTAGCGGAAGGTAGCAAACTGCTAAAAAGTAAATGCTGTTGGGACAATAAGCAATGGAACAGGCAATTCATGGCTTACACATGCACTTTTACTGTTATTGTAGAAAACCACCCCGAAAACCTCTGTAACTAAATTCAATCCACTATAAAATTCCACTGTCTTTCGTCAAACTGCCCATGCCTCCAGATCACACCAATTTGTCTGGAATGTATACTTCCTACAGAAGTGTTGTTCCCGCTTGGCCGAGCCTCTTTAAAAAATTCCTGCATTTTGTTCTTTTACTTGCTTCTTTGCAACACTGACACCCATGCCATGAAATGAAAGGTGTTTATTGTACTCACTAGCCAAATATACGTTTGGTTCAATGTCTTTTCGGAATATGCTGAGTGTTTGCCTTTTTATTTTAGGTGAATTATGATGAAGATGATGAAAACGATAGTAGAACTACAATACTGATTAAGGTATATAGCGTATAATACAAACTGCAAATTCGACACATAAGAAGTATTTTCTGTACAGGAACGTGATGGAATTACTCCCACTCAAGATTGTGCGCAATGGTTTGTTTATTAATCTTTATGAAAAATTAATCATTAAGGTCTCAACCGCCTGGAAAATCATTTACTTGTGTATCTGGTGAATTTAAAAGTGTGCGCAAGAGATATTTTGAAACTCTGAATATACCAGGTAAATATGATGATTACAGTGATTTTAATTTTAGTAGCTATGTAGCTACCTGTGATTACTGCTGTATGTTACGTATGAACATACTGCACCTGGTGTCCTTTAGCTAGGGAAAAAATATGCCAGACTATACAACTTTTTGGCGAGTCAGTTCAGCATGTCAAGTACTGTGTAGCGTTTCAGCATTGGGAACCATTACACGTGTTCCTGCATGTCAAGTACTGTGTAGCGTTTCAGCATTGGGAACCATTACACGTGTTCCTGCATGTCAAGTACTGTGTAGCGTTTCAGCATTGGGAACCATTACACGTGTTCCTGCATGTCAAGTACTGTGTAGCGTTTCAGCATTGGGAACCATTACACGTGTTCCTGCCTAAAGTACATGTAGTAGCTATAGGTATGTTCTATAGATGCTAAACAATGGGTGAAAATAGATGTAAGATCACATATTAATAGGATGGCGGCACATACTGTAGCTGTACATGCCCAAGTGTGAGTTGTGTATATATGAGCTAGATAATTAGTTAGTTATTTTTTCAGTTAAACTTTCATACAGCTACATGTTGCTATACTTGTGTAAAAAATAGCAGGCAACCGAGGCTTTTGCTTTTCACCAAAGGCATAGGAAAGTGATTTATAGCAGAGAAACCACCCACACCAATTGTTGCTGGGCCCACGTTTGCACATGTATACGTGCAGTTAGCATCACTGAGTTACATGTTCATGGCACAGTACAATAGCTCAGCTAAAGCAGTAGCTAGTTCTGAAGTAAACTAGCTTCCCCACGTGATACATAGCTTGGCGTTGAAAAAGACATGAAAATCACCCTTGTTTCGCACAATCCATGATAATAAATTATGCTGGGGGCATATCATGGACCTTACCTACACCTATGGTGAATAAAGCTGTTGTGTTTTTACCCTCGGCGCGCATGCGCAGCGAGGGTTACGGTAGTGTCTACGACTATTCACGCACTACAGGCTACGAGGCGGCTTATGATCGATACCAACAGCGTTGGCGGTATATAGAAAAATAAAATGGCGATTTTGGTGAAACGACTGGCGACAAACTGGCACGGTCGCGGACGACAGCGTTGCGTGGCCCAACCATCAATAAGCGGTGCGCATGCGTGTATTATACGCAGTATGCTGGCTCACCTCGACCTGATCCGCTTGCTCTTTGTACCTTGGAGGCACAAGAAGCCACAGCGAAGCTCTAGTGCATTAAGGCCTGGGTGCATCAAAATCATGGAAAATTTCAGATTTTTGTTTGTTTTGAGAGTGTCACATTACCTTTTACTTTCAAACTTGGTAACGTGATAAAACTCATAGGTCTTAACTCCCTTAACAAATTGTGACCACGCCCACATATTTGTTTGTTTGTTACATGTAATTCGTATATGCGTTAGGCGGATTGCTTACACTTCGAATAAGAATTCATCTTGAGCTCAGAGAAACAAGTACTACATAAAGTAAATCTTTATCCAACGGGGAAATGAAAAAAACTAATGAAACGCGTCGATAACGAACTAAAATATCGAAACCGCGCCCAGTTTACGATAAAAACGGGCCCTGCATCTAAAAACTGTCAAGTTGCTCACCTTCCCCGTTGGATAAACAGTCAGAGGACTTTGCGTTTGTCTTTCTTAAACGTAAAAAAGTAGCTATAGACTAAGCGGAACCCTTCCGCTAAGCGAAAACAGTTGTGAAAAACTTACTACCCGTCCGCGTTACGCGCATGCGCATATTCATAAAATTACGTCCGTACATGGCGTTATTCCGTATATTTTCCGTGAAACGTTACTACGGGGGCGTGGTTACGTGATTCCGTCCAGCTTCCGGTTTGCTGCTCGCGGACAGGCCTTAACGCACCAGAGAGGGTGTGTATCCCGCATGCTATCTACTACCGTAGCTAGCCCGTGTCGACTCTCCGCGAGCTACTAGCGGGAGACCGCGAGTAAAACCCAGCCCACCATTAGTGGTATCGCGCATGCGCAATTCGCCGAGGGTTTGCACTTTAGTGCTTTTCATAATTAACCCTCGGCGCGCATGCGCAGCGAGGGTTACGGTAGTTGGGTTTGTCTGTCTGTCTGTCTGTCTGTCTGTGTGTCTGTCTGTCTGTGTGTCTGTCTGTTACTCGTCATCTCACTTCTCGAGTGTTCGTTCGTCTCACAAAGGATACCACCTACTGAACGGGCAATGAAGGTCAGAAAATATGTGGGGTTTTCTCTGAAACTGCTCCGTTGCAGAGCTAGAGCGCGAAAAAGCTAATATGCAAATAGGCAACGGACGGGACGGCTTACCACGGTCTGATCGATCCGCGTGCTCTGCGTACCTCAGAGGCACCAGAAGATGCAACGCAGGGCGTGTATCGCCTCTCGCATGCTATCTAGTAGTGTAGTTAGCCCGCGTCAGACTCTGCGCGAGCTGGGAAGAGACCACGAGTAACAGCTAAAACTAAACCCAGCCCATCAATTAGTGGTACGGCGCATGCGTTTACTTACGCGTGCGCGTCACAATGCGCCGAGGGTTTGCACTTCAGTGCTTTTCATTATATACAGGTACTTATCTGGATCGAAGCTATGACAGATGTTTTTGTAAGAGTTGTGCTGAGGCAAGAAGAGATGGGATGTTTATTGAGACTGGTGACCCGCCAGAAAGAGTGGCAGTTCCAGATGGATGCATGATGTTTGGTGTAAAGTAAGGCTATTCTACAAAAAAGTGCAATATATACATGTTTTTTTTACGCATACTACATTACGGTATGTCTAGTATAGGTCACACATTATTATGTGCATTTCTGATGACTAATTAGGCTTGCTCATTTGTCAAAACTTTACAACACTAAGGGAAACTGCTACATATTGTGTGATGCCTATGGGGAAACAATATAAGGGTAAACAGTATACACATGTGACCTGCTGTGGGGAAGATACCATATGCACACACATTTTGAGCTACAGCCAAAATTGTACACCTGATCCAGTTTGGGCATTTCAATGCCTAAACCTCCAAAACTAACATCTGTGCACTCAAGTTATGACCATGCAGAAGGTTGCTCAAGTACACCAATATTGACGAGGGCATGCAATCTGTTTGAACAGGCCCTCCCTTGCAAGAATATTCATGATGAATGTTCCGCTAGGTAACATATAATACTTGACAGTAAAAATTATTCTTGCAGGCTTTCACCACAAGCAACAAATGAGGATATATTTAACAAATGGCATGGGTGCTACCATGGAACATCACCAGAAAACATTATGAAGATTCTTAAAATTGGACGGTTGTTAAAGCCAGGTAAGTTGTCCGTTACAATAATTTTCCCAGTCACTTCAGTTGAGGTTGAACAGGAGATGTTGATCCAGAAGGTTCTCAGAGGACTCCAGGACGGGGTCGTTTTACAGAGGCTACTGCTCCACGTGGGCATGATGTAAACCAATACTTCTTCACACCATCATTAAAATACACCATGTATGGAAATCTTTATGCAGCAGCGAGAAGGTAATAGCTTATAATATATAAACTTGCTATACATGTAACCATCGGCGTGCATGTGCAGCGAGCGGGTTACAGGACTTTGTTTGTAATGTGTGTGTGTGTGTCTGTGTGTTACCACGTTTGCTGTCACCACAGGCCACAAGCCAGCCAAAAAGCAATACTAACGGCTTCAGCAATACACGGGCTTGATTTAAATTTCATAAAAACACTGCATTCAAAGTGATGGCATAAAAACCAATAGTATAATGAGCGAATGTTCCGCCTGTTTGCATACATTGAAGGCATCAGAAGTTACAGAGGAGGGTGCCTCGCGATGCCTAAAATGCTATCTACTAGCTGGGGTCCAAAAGCGCTAGAGAGAGATCATGATAGTGTAGCCATGCATTTCTGACCATGGGATGTATGTGTTGTCGTTAGGTTGCGCCACACTTAATTGGTTTTCTTATTATACCTTTATAGCTATGAGGATCATGAAACAGGAAAAACATATTACGTTCGTACCATTTTGCAAGTGAGAGTAAAGCCAGATAGCTACAAAAAAGATCGGCAAACAATGGGAGCAAGTGGGGAAATTGACGAACTATTCTCCAATGACGAAATTGAGTGGTCCACTAATAGAGAGGGTGTTCATTATATTTTTGGCATCCTCGTCCACATGACAACGGAGGAGGAGTAACTCGTAATGTACTGTAGTTGTTAGCATGCATAGTTTTGATATTAGCTGAGTTTTATAATGCTTCAAAGAAACACTAATGTATTATAGTGGAGTCCAAATAATAGTATATTCTTAAGATTATGATTTAATTCAAGTGGATGATTGAAATGAAAGGGGATGTAGGGATGTCAAGAAGGCGAACAAGAAGATGCCTACGCCGACACAGAAAGTCATTCTGTAATCCATCCCGTTTCACTTGCCTGCTTAGGAGTCAGAGTACTTCTCATAATATTTCCGCTGCTGTATCATCTATAACTTGTACTGAATATGGGCCAAGCAAACGTCGTACAATGGAGTTGGTCTTTTGCACACAAGCATTCAATACTCTATGTGCGTGCGTCTGTGCGTAATATTCCTCTCGCCGTAAGCATGATGTATGTAGGTTCTTGTGCTGCTGTAACATGGTATGCAGCGGGCCCATGGCTCAGTAGATATGGCAAAAAGACTAACGCGTGGCTTTAAATACCTGCTATGCGAGGAATCTCCACGCAAGATGTGCAGATTAAAACAATGGCTATACTGGCATGTTGTATGCAGTTGTAGAATACCTATCACAATGCCCATCATGAAAAGCGTCACTATTCATTTGCGTTAAGAGGTTAAACAAAGAGGTCCAACAAAGAGGTCCAATGCGGCAACTATAAGTGGAAAATAACTTTGAATGTAGGTACAACTCAAACACATATAGCTAGGATCACAATAACCATGAGTTATACTGAAGAGGTCTCAGGAGAAGTTGACAGACATCACTTGCATATTACCAAACACCATCACTACCGGCGGTAGATTTGCTGTATGTGTGTGTGTGTGTGTGTGTGTGTGTGCAGAATGATGATTATTAGGATGCTAGCCGCTGCAGACTATCCTAACATGTGTCAGTTGGTGGGTCTTTCTTATGCAACCAGTTGAATAGCTGGTGGTGCAAAAACACTAGTTTGTATGTAGTCCGTCTTCTACCTACATTGCAATGTGGACAAGCCACTTGCTTAGAATCTGCCTTAGCTGCTACCCACACTAAAGTATGCCGAACAGAGTCCTATGGGTAATCTCTCGGGGTTCCTGATGCAGTTCAACATTTCCAGAATATGTGATGCATCAGTTAAAAGCGCCTACATGATAGTCTTACCGGTAAAAATCTCCAGCTCATTGACATAGTTTTCAGCTGAAAAGGGATCTTCTGGAGGAGTTGGCAGAGATGTTAACACAACACCTACAGATAGTGATCAGAGAGAGACTATATCCTAATGAATGAATGTTGAACAACTTTACAAAGTGCTTAATGACACCTTTTCCTGAACAAACCCGTAGCAGGTAAAAAGTGTGCTCTCAGGCCTTTTATCTGTCTAACTCACGAAAACAATAATAGCCATTAATTCCGTAGAGAAAGCTATTATTGGTTGGTATGGTTGGCTGGACACTACATGACTATCTACACATGCAAGCATAGTCCACACCACAGACCACTCTTGGACAAGAGGGGAACTGCATGGAGAAGGTGCTGGGTAACATACCGCAGAGAAGCGAAAACACAGAATTATGCTGATGATACATGGTAACATCCACGAACCATAGTGCATTGTGTAGCCAACTCACTGGCCTCGGCAGAGTACTGCTGCATCAGGGAGTTAAACTTCTTGTAGTGGTCCTGCTTGTGACCTGCAGTCTCCGAGGCTTTAGCAGCATAACTCTCTGAGAATGTGCAGATTGAAAACTGCTGCTTTGCCGGTGATGTGACAATCTGTGTTTGAAATGTACGACTTTGCAGTAGTGACATTAGCGATGAGTAATAGAAACATCACCAATGAACTTACCCTAACATCTGCATTGATTCTGGTCTCGTTTAGAAGTTCCTCCAAGACCTTTTTTTCAGTGCCTTCATTATCTGAGTAAAGTTATCACAGTCACCATACCAGGAAGACAACTTAACCCAATCAGGATCATACTAACAGCTCTATTGTGGCTTGTGGTATATACCTTAACAAAATCTGCTATAGGCAAGGTTTTGGTATCGCCTTAGGCAAGCTAATACCACTTACTTTCCACAACGATAAAGATCCTAAGGTCGGTGTTGGACTTCCCCTGTTTCATGTGGAGGACACAGGAGAGCTGGAGGAGGAGGAGGAACGTGGTGTCAAACGTCTCGTTCTGCCACACACACAGCGGCCACACGTCAATGTAGCGCCGAGTCTTGCTCTCTCTCTCCAGGTACTCAAAACTGCACACAAACAAACAAACATCTCGCTTTTCCTATTAATGTAAGTGTTGCCGATCTTACTGTCTAAGGATGCAGATATTCTTCTTCATGATTATTGCATCCTGTGGAATAGAGGACATCATGTCACAGAACCACAGCTTTGGTATGATGTATATACCTATTGTACATCTTGCATATTTCATGCAGATCATGTTACATTTTAAACACCCAATTGATAATGAGTCAGTACTAGAAAGTGTTGTGCTGTCACAAAGCAGTTGCATTTCTGAGTAAACAGACCAAGAAATATTAGTGTTTAGATACATACTTACATTTATTATGCCAACATAGTCTTTGACCGACAATTTCTGTTCCGATACCTATGAAAGTCATAATTACAGGGGGAGTCTCAAACACAACTGTAGTAAACTCACAGACTGTCTGAGAGGAGGCAGGTTTTTGTTGATGTGATTATACTTCTCCAGAGAAGTGTCCTTGAGGAGGGAGCGGACTACCTTGTGTCTCTTCAACAGTTTGTTGTGCAAAGTTTCCAGAGTGTTGATGGGTATGTCCTTGGTGTAGAACCCCATGGCCAGAGTGTTGGGCTTCATACCACCCAATCCTGCCGTCTGGCAGAGAAATGAATGGAGGATAAGGTCACCTACTCTGGAATTAATTGGCTAGTGTGTTGTTATAGTGTTGTCTGAGTCAAAGCAACCTGTTATGAAACTGCATGTGCAATGTGTGAGTGTATAGACTAGGAACACGCAGTCCTATGCCTCGTGCACCGAGTTAAGTGCATTGGTCCTTGGAGTACTGGTGTTTCCTTTGCCTTTGCCTTGCTACCTCGTTTTTGACACACACACATACAACATACACTGACTGAGCCCGTGCTGCAGAATTAGGTGCCGAGTGCATTATGATAGGAAACTGTTGTCTACTCACTGCCAGGAGTGTCTGGGTGCCCGCCCGGATGGATGGTGCTGGAATCAACTCCACAAATGCCTTCATCTTTGATATGGTCACAAATGTCAGCCACGTATTCAGATTCTCACTGAATGACTCCGCCATCTGTGCAAAATACTCACAACGTTTGTTAGAAAGAGGGTGTTAGCTTACGTCTGGACCAAATGGTTCAGTGATAACATGACCAAGAACATAGAGGCCGCCTTTCTTCACGTCATTGCCAAACTCTATCATGTTGTAGGCCGAGCGTGGGTTTGAAACCATCAGTAGCACCTGCAATAGCCGTTAGTAGCATGTGGACAAGAAATCACATTCTGTATGAACCTCTGGTCTCCAAAACTTGACGTGGCTCTTCCTGATATCCAGTCTCAGGAGGTACTTTCTGACCTAAGAAACACACGGTTTCACAGTAGAATGAGAGTCTGGGGACCATAGACATGATGTACTAGGGAGTGCTGCTGACCTGGTGGTAGATGAGGGCCTGGGATACATCTCCCCATGGAGTGGCAGGTCCTCTCAGTAGCAGGTAGATGAACAGGATCACCATCACAGCTGTGTTTTTTGACAAACCCACCAATAACTATGAAGCAAAGGTTCTCGCATACCAATAGTCACTCCAGCATAGGTTGGGTTGATGTAGAACATCAGAAAAAGACAGCTCAGGGCACCCAGAGCAGCTGTGGAAGATATCGCCAGAGATACGTTAGCATGCAAACTGTTTGGCTAGAGAAACTCTGTAAGCATCTGTTGCTCAAGTGTTCTCTTCGCAATGTGCATGTGTGGAAAATGTGTGTGCATCTTCTAAACTAGACTGCTACAGTTTTTGGATTCTAGCGGGTCAACCAGACCTCTGCAGACAGGTCTAAAACAAGTATTCTTCAGAGACATTGAACCTTAGGCTAGTGACTGCGGTTTCTGATCCCAAAGACCTTCCATGAAATATATGAATACATGAAGGTATTAGACCATGTGACCCCAAGATAAAAAAAGCTGTGGAGCTCTGGACAGCTGTTTCGGGCTTGTTGGCCCTCATCAGCAGAGCATAACTTCTCTCTTCTGGCATCACGAGTTTATAAAGGCTATATACCAGGAGCGCAGCACTTGTGGTTCTGAACTAATGAGATTCATCCCCACAAAGCTTTACCACTGGTATGTGCTGACCATGCCCAGACATTCGTGGTTTTGAGCCTAGGCCCCTCCCCACTCATGCACTTATTCTCAAAATTGTACTTACATGTGTATCGAGCATAGACTTGAAATGTCGGCCTGGAAGAACACAATGATGACAGAACCACATTAGACACTTTACCGATAACCTGAAGTTTGGTGCAGCAGCCAACTTGAGTGCAAGGCAGGCCAGATTCACCACACAGTAGGAGACCAGGAAGAACATGGTCACAATAGGAGCAATGGAGTTCAGTTGACCCACGAACAGGGTTGCCTGCACAGCCAGATACCATAACAAGTGACTCAGCAGTATACAGGCCCATGGCTGAAATAGCCTTCGCACTGTAACATTATAGCAAAGCACTATATGTACAACAGACCTGAACAAAAAGCCAGGAAATGAGGACAGCTGGCAGGGGCTCCCTCCTTTTACCTAGTGTCCATGTGAATGGATGGAGCACACCACCTGGATAACAGTAAGTGATCACAAACAACTTTGGCTCAAATGAACATTGGAGTAATGAACTCAAGTTGACACAGAGCTATACAATAGTGAACATGAATCTAGGTTGTATGAGTGCAAGCATGGTTTAACCCTCGGCGCGTATCCGCAGCGTGGGTTACAGTAGTTAGTCTGTCTGTCTGTCTGTCTGTCTGTGTGTCGACGCTCATTCTGGCACCACTGGCTAAGAGGCGGCCTATTAGTGATACCAGCAGCTACAGAACTACGATTTCCTGAAATGACTGCGTTCGAGAGATATGCCGTGAAACAAGCGAAAAAGCCAATATGCATAATCACACTGGGCTTACCGTGACCTGATCCGCTCACTCTGTGAACCTTGGACATTCAAGAAGTCACAACGAAGGGCGTGTATTGATTCGCACCTGCTATCTACTACTGTAGCAAGCCCGTGTCAGACTCTCATATGAGCTACTAGCAGGAGACCATGAGCATATTCATAGCCCAGCCCATCAATTAGCAGTACCGCGTATGCGCAGTGCGCCGAGGGTTTGCGCTTCAGTGTCTTTCATTTTCAATACCCTTCACACATTGCCTCATCAAGGAAGAGGCAGAATGTGTTCTCGTAACGAAAGCTCCATAAAAACTCACTCACTCATTACTTACATACATATGTATGTACTTATAAGTGGAGCCACTCACTGAAGAGTCTGTCTTTGGCCAGAGCCTGGAGTACTCTGGAGGCTCCGATGAGGGTAGAGAGAGCTGCAGACAGCGTGGCTGAAAACACTCCGATGGTGATCATCCACGGCAGGGCATTGATGTACTGGAGACACAAATTCAAATGTATTATCATACTGTTGCTGCTACAGGGGGTTGACAATTTGTACCTGAAGGTAGTTGTAGTTGTTGAGGAGTAACTCAGTAGTACAGGTGAAGGCAGAGAACGCGACTACATCAGAAAAAAGAACATTCGTTCGTATAACAAGAAATGCTGACTATTAAAGACGCATAAGAGCACCAATGTGTCAAGGTTCCTGTTAAGTACATAGAGGCTCTTCCTACAACTGTCTATCAACTGCGACAATGGCTTAAACATGAATGCCGTTACGTACCATACTTACTCTATTATACATAGGCTCTTGAGGAGAGTAAAAATAATGCCTTACAGAGGAAGATGTAGATGACAAAGGTGATGCCACAGGCCAGGAGTGTGCCCTGAGGAATGGCAACACTTGGGTTCTTCAGATCTCCAGAGATGTTGGCTCCAGCTGTTATCAGGAGACCCAATTATGAGTTTACACATTATGTCCTATTTGTATATACATCTTCATAGTTAGTGTTATAAAAATTCGGAGCAAAGCTGGTGCAGTAACTGAAAGTGAGTCAAAGGACTACCCAATCTGAATAATGCCTGTTTCCTGATTATCAAAAGTGAGTCCCTCACCCATAATTCCGGTGCAGCCATTGAACATGATGGCAAAGACTAGCTGGAAATTCATTGTCTTGCCCAAATTTGTGTAGTCCTGTGTGTAGTGGCTCTGTGGAACACACAATAGTCAATGGCAGTGCATGGTATACACACAGTATAACCCGCACGATGGAAATAGCTACGATACGTATTACATTATGTGCGAAGGGTAATAAAAACTAACGTGGAGGTTACTACGGAAAGTTTCCCATCTCCAGCTGGTGTAGTTTAGCTCTGTTACATCAGCCTGAGAGGAAGGACATTCAGGTTACCTAGTGGTGGTACACAGACAAGCTACTGAACAATCTATTAAGTTTGGTAGAATAATAATAACTCCCACCAAGGAGGATTGCATTTTTGAGTGAAAAAACAGTCCCTGTTGACTAAGATTCATGGACAAGCATTGTACACTTGGCTCTAAAACATCACAATTTTATACTCGAATGCTTTTCACTGTAACTTTGACCAAACCCTCGGCACACTAGAAACGTCGAGCACATAGACATGTGGGGTACCGCTTTGAGATGGGGTGGGGTGTGTGTGTATGGTTGAGGACGCCGTAACTTCTCAACGCATTGCTTTTGAATATAAAGCCAGTGTGTAGTGTCCAATCGGTTAGTATCGCTTATTGCCTGGCTTGTTGCATGTGGTAACAGCAAACGTGGTATATAACAGAGAGACAGACACACACACACAGTTACGAACCAAGTACATATACCGTTACCTTCACCGCCGCATGCACACTGAGGGTTAATGAACAAAGTGTACACAGAAAATTTGACATACATATTCCTCATCTCTCTGAAAGAATGTGTTTTCAGCAGGCACTGGAACATCCTTCATCTTTTCGAATCCAAAACTAAACTGTCGAAAGGATACACACTTGTATGCTAGAGTTAAGAGTTAAGAGTTTACTGCTTACCATCACACTGAACAGTGAGAGCATCACGAAGCAGAATATGATGAAAGTGGTTTTGGCAAACAGACCTGCACAGCAAGACACAAACAGTTACACACTGTATGATACTTTCAGTGTATGACACTCCATGGGCCGTACAAACTGAACATGACTACAGTGTAATAATTATACTAATAGAGAGGCAATGGGAACTCACTAGCTCCAACGAGACAGACGATGAGACAGAACAGCAGTACTCCAGTCCCATAGAGTACATTATACCAGTAGTTCACTGGAATCCCCTCATTTCCTGTGAATACAAGTGGAGGAATATTCATGGTTTTAGTGAGATGTAAACAGCCAATTTTGGCACAATGCAGACTTTTTGGTGACTCACCATGAAGCAGGGAACCTCCCACGCCCAGGTTGTTCACTAGAGCTTCCACAAAACCTACATAGTATCCACACACAATACATACAGACACATGACGACACACACACACATTGCATATGAAGGTCATAATGTTTGAAACGATTGTGTCAAGCTATCCCCAGATTCCCCTTCAAGTGACTGAATCATGGCAAACTCTGCATTAGTTCAACCAGTTTCAATTTCAGCCATTGCTAGGAGAAGAAGCTGGGGATGAGGCTATTTGGGTATGAACTGACCAATGATATAGGAAGCAGAGGCAAAGATGTTGGCAACAAAGAAGATGACACCCACTGATCCTCCAAACTCTGGGCCCAGGGCACGACTGATCATGACTGGAGTCGTACACTGTCAAGGTGTTTCAGTGACTAGAAATAGCCTCACATACTATGTAATAGTATGTGTAAAGTACCAATAGACCATTTGCACGTAAGGCGATCGGAAGTCATTAATGTTTTAATTGCCCGTGACGTCACGGCTGGGGTCCCGTTTCTCTGCGTTTTTAGTATAGGACTTGCGTTTTAAAACTCGCGCTACGCAAACGTTATACCGTATTTCTTTTTAAGTGAAGCATCACGAAAAGTTGAACTCCAGACCTACCGGTAGTACTTCGAACCGAGAGCGTAGCACTTACCGTTCACGAGAAACGTGAGGTCCTTCGCGTATGGCTACGGGTATCCAGCAAGTCACGTTGTCTCCAGCCGATATTCCTGGAGCAGACCTCTCTGAGCCCTTTAATCGGCATACTGTACCTGATTTGCGCTGGTTGCTGCTCTGTAGAGGCATTAAAGTTCCTACTTCTTGGGGAAAAAGCAACTAGTAAACAGGTACGTAGCTAGTGCAGTGCTTGATACAGAAATTACCAGTGAGTGATCAGGTACAGTATATGCCGATTAAAGGGCTCAGAGAGGTCTGCTCCAGGAATATCGGCTGGATATCCGTAGCCATACGCGAAGGACCTCACGTTTCTCGTGAACGGTAAGTGCTACGCTCTCGGTTCGAAGCTACTACCGGTAGGTCTGGAGTTCAACTTTTCGTGATGCTTCACTTAAAAAGAAATACGGTATAACGTTTGCGTAGCGCGAGTTTTAAAACGCAAGTCCTATACTTGCCCATACAAAAACGCAGAGAAACGGGACGCCAGCCGTGACGTCACGGGCCGTTACCAACGCTTACGTGCAACTGGGCTATTATCCAGGAATTCCTAATCATATTCACATGACCACAATGTTTCATATTTCCGGATTTACCCTGCGAATACTACTAATGTATGGGATGGCTAAGGGGGTGTTTACAAGCTCTGCTAAATTTAGATAGTGAATTATGAATCATGTAGTGGTTTTAAAATAGAGTAAAGGAAGTGCAGCGAGGGTATAAAAGGTTCATGCCACCCAATGTCTGAGTGTGCAGTGACTATAAAAGCCCAATCTATACTACTAGCTGGACAGCCCCTTAGCTACAACCTCTACCTAGGTATATCTCCACATCAAATCTACCTACCAGTCAGAGTTTATGACAACTGCCTTGGACATCTTTCACCTGTGTCAACCACAGTACTACTCCAGCCCCTTCTCCATACACCATCATCCACCCCCTCTCTCCCTGCTCTCCCCATCATTAAACCCAGTCCACTAGTAGATGGCCATGAGAGGAACCCCAGTCTCACCGATGAGGACCCGCCCCAACAGCCTTGGTCTCGGGCAGGCACACTCCTCCAACAGTGACCCGGCCTATGCCCCGTTTATCAACCAATCCCCCCCACAGACAAATGGGAATGACCAAAGTGTTGACGATGCAGCTAATGTTGCCACGAATCCTCTGCTAGAACTTGCACATGATCTCGGTTACGACGATACGTTTCCAGGGTCAGTTGAAGAGCGATCTAATCCGACACCTGATGAGAGGGTCGCCCCGCCGAATCCCATCGTTACACCACGGACAGAGGACGAAATGCTTGTTCCTGGGACTGAGCTCCCACGTAGCATGTCAGTTGAGCAGGAGGTGGCGAGCAAGAGTCAAGCTGAGACTGGGGGTCCTACTGTACCCACTCTACTATGACTATATCAGGGGAAGAGCAGTGGATGTTGGTGTCTATGTTTGCGGTGTTTAAGTCTAGAAAACTTTGCTGTCCACACATTCTCCCCTTGTTATTCAATGCACAATTGGTGTTATATGGAACTACAGCACACGCAGTACATGCAGTTTTTATTCCAAGAAAGAATTCCCAAACACAACACAAGTTGTCACATGTGCAGCAGTCACAAGTGATATCACGCAGGAAATGAAGGGATAATATTATACTGTATTACCAACACACACGTGTAAACACAAGTAAACTACACCTAGGTCAGTTTTTTTCAAAGGAAAAGAAGAAGAGCGAAGAGCTGCCCCGGGTGGGATTCAAACCCACGCAACACTCTGCAGTCTAGGCTGAGCGCTCTACCAACTGAGCTACCAGGTACAACTCAGCTTCAAAACAATACAATAAGTTCTTGCATTGAAGTTTTTAAGTCCCACATAAAAGGCGAACCAACTAATCATCCTCCATAATAGTCAGCCATCTTCTAGCATGCAAGAACAGTCACTTGGGAAGGAAAAGCTGTCTTTTTACAGAGGTTTCAGAGGAGTTACACTGTGTATATCATATAGAGGATACAGTAGACGCCTCCTCCCTCCACAGTGGAGCTGGTGGCAATGGCAGAGATGGAGAGGACAGTGAGGATCACTACACCGTAGCCCACCAACACCATCACCATCGTCTGAATGAACCCAGCCTGTGGGGGGGACACACAAACAGTCTTACAATAGCTATATTATACGGTCATCAAGTACGAAAGGGGTTGAGGCAAACTATTTAAAAAGAGGCTCTATCATGTGGGATTTTATGCTAAAGAGAACTTAGTCACTGTGCATTCCTGGCTTGGGGAAGTACAGCAGGACACCTAGACAGGACACCTAGAACAGCACAAGAGAGAAGAGGTGGGGATAGTGGTGACATACCTGTCCCAGGACAAAGCCAGTCTGAGGAAGAGGATGACAGAGAAGATGGACAGGATGCAGGGTATGGTCACTCCAAACACCATCGTCAGCTTCTTCCGCTTGGCTGGAGGGAGGACACACAGGGATGAATATACACAATATCCATCATATTACAGGGTAATACATTATCCTTATGACTCTGAGTTGCACTTTGTCAGTGGGTAATGATTTACACATTTGGACTCTACCACCATGTGAAGAAAGGGAGGAAAACATTAGATGCAGAAATAAACTGATGTCCTGGATTTCTAACTGAATGGAGTGCTCATATACTGAAATGGAAATTCTGTACATTAATGGAGAGAAGACAGGCATGGAATATCCTGGTGGTGAGTGTACAGGAAGGAAGGCACTGCAGCTGAATGCAATCTCCCGTCCCACCACTAAGATCCTAATACACATTGACACAGAGAAACACTATTACCTACAGCTGACACTTATGTTCACGTGCACTTGAGCATACACTAGTCGTGTCTCTACGACTCAACAACCTCATCTGTCACACACCTTATCTGTGTATGTACGAAGGGACCCACTCACAAACACGACTGGCAGAGTCTCTACTGACTGTCAAGCTCACTGAATTTGCCGAGACTAATAGCATGCGAGAAGCACTGAAAGCAGAGTCAAAACTGTGTAGCTGGTCATGTAGTTGTGCCATTGGCCTACTATTATGTTCTGCATACAGTTAGCATAATTATAAGCTTGCTAACTAACTGGCAGCAGAAGGAAAGAAAGTTCCATGATGATTGGGGTGTGGATACATGCTGCCTTGGGGCACACTGAGTTACGTAGGTTTCAAAATATACCTACACAGGTACTTTATGTTTGGAAGCACATCGAGGTCATAGTGGAGTCTGTGCTACCTGCATTCTTTAAGGCCAGTTCTGTTCGCACCTTACTTTGCTTGCTGCCAGGATGGATCATGATCCATCCTGGCGCGGCAAGCATCCTAGAGGTCGGGCCCTAGCCTATAGCAATAGTCATCCAATAGTCCTAGGTGCTAAACGGGAAAAAATTCACAATAGAATGCAGGTAGTCTCCACTATGACCGCATATCGACGCACAGGGTACATGCATCCTCTCCACTATTGCAGCCCCCGTAACTCACCTTGTCTCCTCTCCTCGATCTGCCTGGCGTGGCGGGAGAGGAGGGGCTGGCTCTCGTCCGAGCCGACCATGTGCAAGCCCGAGGAGGAGATCGGGCTGGCAGTCGGCGAGAGAGATTCCCAGGTCCGGTGGAGGGAGTTGATACTCCCCTCCACGTCGTACCCATCACCCACGGCGACATCCACCGAAGAGTCAGCCATCACGAGGCTTGGCGCTTCCGAGAAGGAGGATTCGCGCCCACGGCGACTATTGGCGGCCATTCCTTGCCTCAATCACTATTAATTAGCTGCAGAAACAATGTCATCTCTCTGGCTACTCCCTCAGCTAGCAACAACAGTTTAGCTATATAGCTATAATCTCTGACAGTGAACTGGCTTGCTATAGTTTATGCCTACTCAGGCTATATAGCTAGTCCTTTATGGGCACGTTACTGCTCAATGACAACGTTATAATAGATGGATACATAATTTAGGACACAATGCATATTATAAGGACACGGTAAACAACTTTACACATATGCCTGAAGGTCAGCAGCACCTCAGGCCCAGGTGGGGTTAATTATTGGGGTGTCGTTTGTGTCAAAACCACTATATATTCATGCACGTTTTACTCTGATGTTTATTATAATAATGTTTATTTGGGAATAGATTTCCTATGCTAACCGAAACAAAGTCCCGGCAAACTGTTTGGCCCTTGATTTTGCCAGTCCCAAATACTTATGAGATAATCCTGCACTTGCGCTAATGCTAGTCATTACTCCTCTAATTTTCTCGTACAATGAGGCACATAGCCTCACTTGCTGCCGTCTGCTTTTCATTAGCTACTTAAACAACTACTTTTAATTGGAATGACAGGAAAGCTACAAGGTAATGTAGCTGATACTGATATATAGGTAATGTTGGTAATTTTAGGTAAGCTATATAGACATTGCAAATACTCATGCTGGGTATATATATTATTGCAGATAATGCTGGTAAGCTATGTAGGTATAACAAGTAAGGCCGGTAAGCAAAGCAGCTATAATTAAAGTGCAAACCCTCGGCGAACTGCGCATGCGCGGTACTGCTAATTGATGGGCTGGGCTATTCATGCGTTTACTCGTGGTCTCCCGCTGGAAAGAGAGCAACCAAGAAAAATCAGCAAAAACTAAGACTCAAAAATAACCTCAAAATGAAGGGGGTTCTGCTGGCAGCTCTAACACTGGCCACCATCATCACAGGGACACTGGGTATGACTACATCCTTATTGCACCTCGTCATGTCTCAGTCATGACAGTGTTATCCACTGCTGCAGGTTTTCTCAGTAAGCATCCTCAATCACAGACTGTTGCACAGGGCTCCACTGCAAACTTTACCTGTGAATTAAAAAACTGTGTTACCTGTCTTGTGCATTGGACTGCTATTGACACAGAGACTGGTCTCCATGTCAGTGGAGACCTCATACGTGTTGTGGCTGATGCCAACCGTATCACCAGCACAATCAGCATTCTCGCAGTAAATAACACAGTGGTCCAGTGTGTGGAGAACAACCGCCTTGCTAGGCAAAGGAGGGAAAGACTTCACTATAGCACATTGGCACTACTACTCGTGGAGAAAGAAGGTACGGAGGAGAATATTATTTCTCAGCATTATGATTCACTTTTTTCTCACCACAGGATCTGGAGCAGAGTACAGATAGTGCAGAATTCACAGTCATGTATTATATAATGCCTTGTACACAACTACCTTCGGCGAACTGCGCATGCGTGGTACCCCTATTTGATGGGCTGGGCTATTTGCAGTATGTCGGCTAGAGTAGCTCGCGGAGAGTCTGACACGGGCTAGCTACAGTAGTAGATAGCATGCGGGAGTCGATAGACGCCCTTCGTTGTGACTTCTTGTGCCTCCAAGGTACACAGATCAAGCGGCCCCGGTGTGCTAATTTGCATATTGGCTTGTTCACTTGGTTTTCATGCCATAACTTCTGAACGCGGCACATTTACAAAAAATCATAAATGAAGCCAGTGTAGCGGTGAACCCGTTGGTGTCGCAGAAAACGGACGGCCGGACGGACAGACAAGTAATGTAACCATCGCTGCGCATGCGCGCCGAGGGTCAACGATGCGGCGCGGGTATAATGTAGTAAGATGGTGGTAAGCTAGGTAGCTAACTAGTGGAAATGTTGAACATTGTTGGCGAGCGGGAGCGACCCAACTTGGGATTTGCCCGCGATGTTCGGGCTGCATAACGCCGTCAGCGCACAGCTTTCTTCGTGAAGCAAGACAGATCCATGTCGCCGTTACATTGGCAGAACGGTGAGCAAAGCGACGCTGATACTATACAGACGAGCCTCTCTCTGCTCAGGAGTCTCACGGGCACGACGTTCTCTTTCCCTCTCTCTTCGACGACGAAGGGCATCTTTTCTGGACTGATCCATCATGAGTGCGGGAGTACAGTAGAGAGCTACACACACGTACGCGTATTCACTACATATTGACAGGGCAGGCCGCATGTGAAATCCTGAAGCGCGTAAGAAGCGTATATACGACGAACCGCGCGGAATTGGGAGCGAGCCAACCTAGTCGTTGGAATTTTCGGTATCCGCTGGAACGAAGGACTAGGTTGGCTCGCTCCCGCTCGCCAATAGAAAATCCGCGCCGTTAGTACCACTAGGTTAGCTCGCTCCCGCTCGCCAGGAAAAAAATCTCACTTCTTTCTGTGTAGACATAATATACATAGATAGGTGGCAATAAGATAGTTTGCAGCTAGCTGAAGAGGTCTCAGGAGAAGTTGACAGACATCACTTGCATATTACCAAACACCATCACTGCCGGTGGTAGGTTTGCTGCACGTAAGAGAATGTGTGCATAATAATAAACAGATGTAGCTAGCCACAATAAGACTACAGTCTACGTCTGGGCATGAGACTACGTCTAGAGTGATGGTAGAATGGCGATGGAAGAGACGAGTGGTGGGTTAAGGAGGCGAGCAATGGTGGAATGGCGACAGAATTGGATATAATAATGAGAACATGAACGGAAGGACAGGCTATCAAACCATCCTCAATACCCTGACTATAGCAGGAGAAATCCACCCTCGATAGTGACCTTTAATAAAGGGGAGGCCTAGATTTTGCAATACTGATAAGGTGACCTAAGTATTTCGTACTTTTAGTGAGTACATGAACGGGAGGACAGGCTAATAAACCATCCTGAATATATTATTAAAGCTGGAGAATGCAGTGCAAGCCACCCTCAATGTAAAAATGGGATGACCTAGATTATGTCTTCATTATGCTGGTAAGGTGGCCTAAATTGTTTGTAATTTTATATAACGGTATGGGTGTCTGGTTGAGGGACCAGAGGCTGGAGAAGCGGTGGTCCTGCTCGTTGGCAAGAAGGTTCTATCATGTGCCACTAGCAGAATGATACACCTCAGTTGGACGGTGGCTATAGATATGGTCCTAGACAGCTACAGGCTGATTCAGCTCTTTGTAACTACACAGTATCATGTAGCTAACATCTGAGCAAATCTGGCTATAATAGGGTTCTTTCTAGCTCACTGTAGTATAACCTACAATTGTTTACCAGTAAAAATCTCCAGCTCATTGACATAGTTTTCAGCTAAAGAGGGGATCTTCTGGAGGAGTTGGCAGAGATGTAAACACAACACCTACAAAAAAAGAGAAGTGGAATAACAGGGTAGTATCATGTGCTTTTGCACATTCCTGCGCAATTTAAAGATGTCTCCTTGCACATGACTGACATGAGGCTATAATTGGCTGCAATGGATGACTATTTTCCTATCACATGAATGAGAGGGGCATCAATAAGGCCAGGCTCTGACAAATGGACAGCTACAGTAAATAGCACATCCTAGTTTCCTCAAGGTCGCCCTATGTACTAGAAGGGAGCTGCAGAATGTAAAAGCCACAAACTACCTAATTAGCCAACTCACTGGCCTCGTCAAGAACCTGACTCTGCTGCATCAGGGAGTTAAACTCCTTGTAGTGGTCCTGCTTGTGACCTGCTGTCACTGAGGCTTTTAGCAGCATAACTCTCTGAGAATGTGCAGATTGAAAACTGCTGCTGTTTTACTGGTGATGTCACAATCTGTCAAAATTGAAATATGTAGTATCACTCTGCACATACAGGCAAGCAAGCAAGCAAAAATGATGCTCCCATGTGGGCTATGTCGAAAGAGCTAAAAGAAAAGGGCGTGGCAGGCGCAGTGACCAGGTCATTGGCCTATGCTCACCAACACACGAGGTATGAGTTATAAAACACATTAGTTGTGAACTGACCCTAACACTGGCATTGATTCTGGTCTCCTTAAGAAGTTCCTCCAAGACCTTTCTTTCCGAACCTTCATTATCTAAATGAAGGAGAATAAAAATGAAGAGGGATTGGAGGATGGCTCGAACCAACAAGGAATGGATACACAGCAAAGCACAATTCCTTATATTTTGTCTTTACAAAGGGAAGTTATGGTCACTGAAGTCCTCCGGGTTGAGGGAACAAGGAGGCAGCCACTAGTTTCACATGAGTAGGCTCCTGTCCTTGAACGCTGTGGATGGTCTTGAGCTAGGCGTCTGATCAAGAACGTCTGTCGCCCCAGCCATTTCCAACAAGACATGCCATGTCATGGTCTTAAGCTGGGCATCAAGAGGGGCACGTGACTTCATCTCCACAGCTGTCTCAAAAGCAAGATGCTGCATTCTGCGAGCTCTGTCCCTCGCCAGTTGTCGCATGTGAGCTTCATTGCTTTCTAAAGCGTGATGATTCCTTGCTCTCTCTTGGTTAGATCGCATTGTTCTTTGAAGTTGTAGGGTGCATTAGTGAAATCTCCTAAGTATTACGTACAACATTACAGCATTGAGCATAGGCTGTCTGTTGTTACACAAATATGTATGGAAAAATATATTTTGCTCATAAAGGTAAGCTCGCTCACAGTTGCCAATCGCCTCCAGGCTGGGGCTACTCCATTTTCCTCTGCTATTATGTGCACACAAAACTATTAAAAACCCACTTACCTTCCACAACGATAAAGATCCTCAGGTCGGTGTTGGACTTCCCCTGTTTCATGTGGAGGACACAGGAGAGCTGGAGGAGGAGGAGGAACGTGGTGTCAACGTCTCGTTCTGCCACACACACAGCGGCACACGTCAATGTAGCCGCCGAGTCTTGCTCTCTCTCGCCGGTACTCAAAAACTGCACACAACAACAAGTCTCTCGCTTTCTCCTACTAATGTAAGTGTTGCCGATCTTACTGTCTAAGGATGCAGATATTCTTCTTCATGATTATTGCATCCTGTGGAATAGAGGACATCATGTAAATAATATACTCATTGCCATATATATTATTATATTCAAGCAAATATAGATATGACGTATATACATCTCTTACATATGGACCTAAATACGCACATGTAAAGCACGATACTTCCATGGCCGAAGTTTTCAGTACTACGTACAGTATAGAAGTTGTGCAGTCGAGGCCTGGATATTTCCCCAACCGACCAACACAGATAATGGCACATTCACCTGTATCATGCCAACATAGTCTTTGACTGATAATCCCTGCTGAGCCACCTATCAAAGTACACATGAGAAAATAATCACTGAACTACCACACTCTCTGGATTACAAGTTATACTGGCCTGGCATTACAGTATTAACAAAATTTGTGTTTGTAATTCAGATGGCCATACAATGGGATTTTCTTTCCTACAACTTTTGCCACCGTGTATAGCTGCAAGGAATTGTCATACAACTGGTCAGGATGGATTTCGCACATGCAACTATATGCAGTAGACATTAATGCAGATAATGATGCCAATTCTACACACCTACTCTATAACTTGATTGACAAAGTTGTAAGCCCAATTTCATGGTAAAAAGTGTGAGTTACACTCCAGAAAATATGTTGGGCCTCAATAACTATACCCACTGCAACTGTAGTCAACTCACAGACTGTCTGAGAGGAGGCAGCATCGTGTTGATATGGTTATATTTCTCCAGAGAAGTGTCCTTGAGGAGGGAGCGGACTACCTTGTGTCTCTTCAACAGTTTGTTGTGCAAAGTTTCCAGAGTGTTGATGGGTATGTCCTTGGTGTAGAACCCCATGGCCAGAGTGTTGGGCTTCATACCACCCAATCCCGCCGTCTGGCAGAGAAATGAATGGAGGATTAGGAAGATTGAGAATAAAGTGCTACTTATTCCCCTTTGCTAGATAGACAGTGATGTGACTGCACTAACCTATACCGGAAATGTTGGGTCTGGAGACAAGATTAGAGTCAATGAAATGAACAGGGAATTGCATATCATGTGCACTACATTCATGCATGAGTTTGTGGTAGGCATTCAACTCACTGCCAGGAGTGTCTGGGTGCCTGCCCGGATAGAAGGCGCTGGAATCAACTCCACAAATGCCTTCATCTTTGATATGGTCACAAATGTCAGCCACGTATTCAGATTCTCATTGAATGACTCCGCCATCTGTTTAGTATGACAAGTGGACCAACGGAACACCACTTGTGCACAGTGTAAAAAGCAAACATGCAAAAATCACTGGTAATTGATGGGCTAGGCCATGCTATGCTGTCTATAACTTGCAATCAGCACTGAAGCAGTTCATATCACTTTATGGCAGCCTAGTGGACTGTATAGTTGGAAAATAGCAGCGTACAC